CTGACAATTCAGGTTAACATGCTGAAATCTTCAAAGTGTCGTCGTGACCCTAAAAATTATGTGAAGGTCACCAAAATTGACTGGGCCCTGGACCTTCCCTAAATGAAGCTTGGTGTCAAATATGAAGAAAATCCAGTGAATATTTTTGCGATATCTTGCTGACTATCTTAACATGCAATTTAACATGCTGAAATCTTCAAAGTGTCTCTGTGACCTTGAAAATTAAGTGAAGGTCACCAGAATTGACTGGGCCCTGCGCCTTCCCTAGATAAAACCTGGTGTTAAATATGAAAAAAATCCAGTGAAAGGTTCTTGAGATAGCTTAACATGCAGGTTTACATGTTGAAATCTTCAAAGTGTCGCCATGACCTTGAAAATTAAGTAAAGATCACCAAAATCGACTGGGCCCTGCGCCTTCCCTAGATAAAGCTTGGTATTGAATATGAAGAAATCCAGTGAACGGTTCTTGATATAGCTTAACATGCGGGGAAAATGTAAAAGTCCCCTTGTGACATTTCTTATACTGTGATGAAACTAGGTACAGAATATGAAAAGAATAGCCTAATACTATACTGAGTCAAAAAAGAAACTTCACAAAATATAATTTGAAAAATAATGAATCATTTTTCTCTGATGATACATCTATGTATCCGATATGGGATCCCTATCTTTCGGTTCTAGAAAAACGTTAGCAAAACCCACTCAAACCCATCCATTCGTCGTGCAAATGACGTTAGTGCCAAATCAGGTTTTGCACGTGCAGTCGATCACGTGATCTTCGCATCGAAATTTTCTTCATATGCACGTGTTTGCATTGGCCTCAAGAATTGAAAAAACACTTTTAAACCACAGTTCTAACGGTACTTGAAATGCCACGATTGTCAAATGTGCAACGTGAACGTGCCGTAGGCATGTTGCAAGCGGGAAGATCAGTTATTGACGTCGCAAGAGCAATGGGATGCAGCCGTCGCACTGTGTATGACTTGCGAGGTCGTCTACAACAAACTGGCACCACTTCTGATCGCCCAAGGTCGGGTCGTCCACGTGTGACGTCACGAGCAGAAGACCGTCAAATCTTCCTACGTCACCTACGTGACAGATTTCTGCCGGCTACACGAACCAGGGCTGAGATGTTTAGAGGTTGACTGTCCTCTAAGGCCATTCGAAATCGGTTGCGGGCTGCCAATCGCCATTCTCGACGTCCATATCGTGGGCCAATATTGACGCCGTTTCATCAACGTCAACGTCTGCTGTGGGCCCAACGTCACCTCCGATGGACCCAGAGAGACTGGAATCGAGTCGTCTTTAGCGATGAATCCAGGTTTACCCTCAGATTCGCGGACGGCAGGCATAGAGTCTGGAGGGGACGTCGTGAACGGTATGCCCAATGTTGTGAACAGGAAGTCGACAGATTCGGGGGCGGAAGTTGCATGGTGTGGGGTGCTTTCTGTGGGAACAACCGTTCCCGACTTCTGGTCATCCGTGGAAACCTCACAGCTGCTGCTTACCGCGACCAGGTGCTCACCCCTGAACTTGTTCCTTTCATGGCGGCTCATGGCCCAGGTCTACAGTTCCAGCATGATAATGCTCGGCCGCATACCGCGATGTTGACACGAAATTTCTTCAAAACGCTGGAATCAACGTCATGGACTGGCCATCGAGGTCCCCTGACCTTAATCCAACAGAGCACGTTTGGGATGCACTTGGGAGAAGGCTTCGTGGTCTTAGGAACCAACCTCAGAATTTGCAGGAACTTGGCGCAGCCTTGCAAGAGCAATGGCGCAGAATCCCCAACCACGTGTTCACAAGCATCAGGCAGTCGATGAGGAGACGGTGTTTGGCAGTGGTGAATGCGCGGGGCGGCCATACACGATATTGAACTGAGAAATTTCGCATTTTTATTCTTGTGACTTGACATTCTGTATACCCATGTTTTGGAACGGCGGTGTAGCCTAATGGAACTGATTATGGCACTGTCAGTGTATCGAGTACATCACACAGATCTCAGCAATGAAATAATAACAATTTAACCATCTTACCATCTCTTGTTCTTTTATAGTGCCCTGAAGAAAGAATGTGAAGTTTCTTTTTTTGACTCAATATATATCCCCCGCTTCGAGCTAAACGCGCGGCGGGGGATAACTAACTAGATTCAAAAATATATGTTTGTTTGTAAAGTATCGGCCGATACTATATACGATTTGTCCCGAGCAAACAAATGCTTGCAGCATCATCATGGCGTCGTCGTGTTCGGTAACGCTCAGTACAACATGGTCACACACTGTATTCTCAAATGGCAATGTCCACATCTGTACCTGGGTTGTAATGATGCTAACACTTGTTCCTTGTTAAATAAACTTTCTTCTCAAATTTAACCTAGTAACCGGAAATATTTCTATCAGTGTTTGTTCATACAATTCCGGCTTCGTTAAAGGTAATTGGAAACGACCTATTTACACTTTCGTCCGGGCAGCGAATGTCGCTGATATTTTAAAGCGTGTCAAAATACATATCATATTTTATCTGCCACTACCCAACACTGACAAGAAACGACTTTTGTTACCACAATGGTCTTGTTAGTGCGCTGTATGCCTTAATGGAACAATTATTTTTAAAATGACGACGTAGATTGTATCTTGCTCAGGTACTGCCTGCGACCGGAACCGACATAAATGGCCGAAGATAATTTCTTCTGGTGGGCATTGTCTCGTCACGAGCTTTCGACTGAGTCCCCAGTTTCCAGTGTGGGACACTGTGGTCCCTGAAGCCCATTTCTGATGTCCTCCGCCGTGATGTTGCTGAAAGCGGCGTAAAACTAAACTCATTCAATCACAGTCCCTGAACCGGATTATCTCCTCTTCCGCCGTTTGCGACAATAACACGATTTATTTCAAGTAGGTGTGTGTCTCTTCTTCCACGCCACCGTTGCAATATTCCGGTTACAACACGGGCGACCCTCACTGACTTGATCAACTAAGTGATCGACAGCATGAAGGACACACAAACGACAGGATAAGGCAACCCGATCGCACTTAAGCCAGCTTTTACAACCCGTTCTGTCCAACCTGGATTCTCTGTGAATAGAACACGCTGACATTAAATAATGTAAGAAAGGTGATATACGAGAGCTGTATGCCATCCGGTATTTCTATATATAACTCATCTCGCTCAAAAAAAACCCTAAAATTTTACGATAATGGGACATTTGTGACGAGATGGTTTACGATATGGGGTAGTCGAGTGGATTAGACGCCCCATCCTGACACCGCAGGTCCGGATTTGATTCCAAATATAGGTGCAATGTATAATCCCATTTTGTAAAGAAGCCCGACATTGTTGGATTAATGCTAAATGCGGCAACCGGCTCCCTTATCACGAGTGAGTGAGTGAGTATGGATTTACGCCGCTTTTAGCAATATTCCAGCAATTTAACGGAGGGGATATCAGAAATAGGCTTCACATATTGTACCCACGTGGGTCCCTTATTACCGAATCAGTACAGACATGTTGGATGGCAACATTCGAGTTCTGTTGATGAACTAACCGCCAGACTTTCCGTAAATAACTACTCAGTACTTTTAATGCCCTAATTCCTAACACGGGCTGTGTGTCCTAAAACTTCCACCCGAAATAATATATACTTTGCAAAAGATTAATTTAGATATTGCCTGGGGAACAGCCAAACTAGAGCGCGCTTCCCAAGTCATGTAAGTTCCACGTGCAACATGAGACGGAAGAGCATGAGTCATCCTCGGTAAGAATGTTTACAGCTCGTTTCTGGATGCAGTCTGAGACAAGAAATAGCGTTCTTCCCGAAATATGTTAAAATAACCACAAGGTTTTACAGAAGTTATATGGAGATAAGTATTTAAGAGATGTGTGTATGTTTGATAACTGCCATTTTATATTCTCACCTAAAAACAGCCGTTGCGACAAAAAATAAAATAAATAAAAATAAAACTCACAACATATCTTGGGGAATTTTGTGGCCTTGTTGTAAGAAATAAGACTTTGATAGTATTTCATAGATCTGGTCAAAGGGATATTCCCGATTGGTGTCACGATACAGGGGAACTGGTGGTCCCTTGAAAGCCATGCTTGTGAGGCCAAGGTTGGAAGAGTTGGTTAACTGCGTGTAATCAGCTGGTTTCGATAACACTGGACAGTGTGGTCCATTCTGGGTTATTTACAGACCGTCAGCTGAGTGCGGCGTAAAACTAAACTCACTCATTCCAGACCGTCGTTGATTTGGTTGACACTTGTCAAATTGCATAGATCAATGCGCACGATGTTGATCTCTGGATTGTCTGGTCCAGACTTGATTATTTACAGACCGCCTCCACATTGTTGGAATACTGCCGAGTGTGGGGTAAAACAAGAAAAAGCAAAACACATTTTTACAGCCCCTTGTCACAGATCTTTAATATTGGGAGTGCGGCCCTTAACAAAATCAAGCACAGACCAGAATATGACGCATTCGTCCTTTTAGAGAACCTCACTCTTCCCACATTTGTGGGCAAATGATCCACGTCAAACGATCAACTTGATACTACTACTTCCCTGATGAAAAGACTGAGGGTGGGTGATGTCAGCTGTTTAGTGAACTGTGTTATACGCTGCTGTTAATTTTCATGGATAGTGAGGAACGGATCCTGTATTTCTATACCGAGTTAACCCGTGCAAACACACATGTGATCAAAACGAAAACAAACCCAGATCTCTGTTATAGTGGACACAGTTGTATCACTACCCTCCCTTGTCATGTCGGTCCGTTTGTGGACATCGTTCCGACCATACCCGTGAAATGATTCAAGGAGTATACATTCTGGACCAGAAGCTCCATGCCAGCAACAGAGTGTGAACACTCATCCATCGGTATCCACTCTAGCCTTGGTTCACAAGCAGTTACTACATATTTATACATGTGCGTCATTAATACATGCAAGATCTTGACTGACCCCAGACACATATCATAAACATAAAATAAAACTAGAGAAATATTTGTAATACTGACAGCTTTATTTGAAATAATTTCCACTTAACATTTCACTGAGACAGAAGACAAAAGATCTTCAAAACTGTGTTCTTTACACAAAAAATGTAAACCGAGAAACACATACAGTAAAATGTGACCGACAGGTACAGGAAGAAAATAGGACAAGAAATGTCAAGAGGAAAGTAAATCGTATAACATTAAGCTTTGAAAGCCTTGTAGTTTGGTCGTGCTTAGGGATGACTGAGCTGAAGCTTTACTCAGCTTCTTCCTCTCCCTCCTCAAATTCAGCATCCTCCTCTGCAGTAGCCTCCTGGTACTGCTGGTACTCAGACACCAAGTCGTTCATGTTGGACTCGGCCTCAGTGAACTCCATCTCATCCATGCCCTCGCCAGTGTACCAATGGAGGAAAGCCTTTCTCCTGAACATGGCCGTGAACTGCTCGAGATGCGCTTGAACAGCTCCTGGATGGCAGTGCTGTTGCCGATGAAGGTAGCCGACATTTTGAGGCCTCTTGGTGGAATGTCACAGACAGCAGTCTTCACGTTGTTGGGGATCCATTCAACGAAGTAGCTGCTGTTCTTGTTCTGGACGTTGAGCATCTGTTCATCAACCTCCTTCATGGACATGCGGCCACGGAACATGGCAGCCACAGTAAGGTAGCGGCCGTGACGGGGATCACAGGCAGCCATCATGTTCTTGGCATCGAACATCTGCTGGGTGAGCTCGGGCACGGTGAGTGCACGGTACTGTTGGCTTCCTCTGGAGGTTAGGGGAGCAAAGCCAGGCATGAAGAAGTGAAGGCGGGGGAAGGGCACCATGTTGACAGCCAGTTTACGGAGATCAGCGTTCAGTTGTCCAGGAAATCTGAGACAGGTTGTCACTCCTGACATTGTTGCAGAGACGAGATGGTTGAGATCTCCGTATGTTGGCGTAGTGAGCTTCAGTGTTCGGAAACAGATATCGTAGAGGGCCTCATTGTCAATGCAGTATGTTTCGTCGGTGTTCTCAACTAGCTGATGTACAGAGAGAGTGGCGTTGTAAGGCTCCACCACTGTATCTGACACCTGAAATGAACAAATAAATTATAGAACAGGTTTACAGCAGGACACCATATCCAACGATTACCCATATAAAATATAATTCCTTCTTGATGTCTAAAAGATGTGGGTCTTCAGTGGTTCCATCACAAAGTACTGCAACATACCTCCCCAAATATAATGCCTTATCAAAAATAACGGATAGCAATAGTTGTAGTTTCAAAGTCGAAGACACAGAAACGACCACTCAACCAAGGATTTTGGCAAGGTAAAACGGCTTCATCATCAAATAAAAATCACTTTTTGAAATTACAGACAGACAGGTACTACTTGGAAGAAAGAACCAAACAAACAGCAATATTATACTCTTTCAAGACAATTTCAGAAATAAGTTTCACAAAACTACGCCATCCTTCTATTTCTAGACAGAGTGAGTGAGTGAGTTTAGTTTTAAGCCGCGCACTCAGCAATATTCCAGCTATATGGCGGTGGTCTGTAAATAATCGAGTCTGGACCAGACAATCCAGTGATCAACAGCATGAGCATCGATCTGCGCAATTGGGAACCGATGACATGGGTCAACCAAGTCAGCGAGCCTGACCACCCGATCCCGTTAATCGCCTCTTACGACAAGATTTCCAGACAGAATAAAGTAAAACACTACTATACGATCACTAAAGGTTACTCTTACATATAGTGACAGATTTCGTTTATCCTGTCAAACTCTAGTTTGTTTGCATCTTTTCGAAATGTTTCCACTGTAGAGCGGTCAAAATGTACAGAGATTGACATTTTGTACCATTCAGTCGTATTATAACACTACCCTACACCTTCAGGTGCCAGTTTAAACTCAGTGTTGTAATAAGAGTCACATGTGTAACCTGGACAGTGTCTGTATCACATAAGCATGATAAGGGGTATGATTAAATGCTAAGATCAAGCTTGCCATGACTGTTAGCAAGCAAGGTTTCTCTTGACCAATAAAACCATTGCCAGCACAAAGGATTGATCATCTCTCAGGATCTAGCAGTCCCTGATATCACTGGACAATATTTCAAATCACATCCACCTTCTACAGCATGAGATCGAGTGAGTTTAGTTTTACGCTGTACCCAGCAATATTCCAGCTATATGATGGCTTAGCATGAGGTTGAGTAGCTTTGTTAATATATTTGTTGATAACAAAACTTTCAAAATCAGAATGATATAGTTTATGAAAAACTTTAATCACCTTGACAAAATATTTTGATGACATTTTAACATACTGATCAAAAGAAGGTAAACACACAATTCTTTCACATTACTAACACTATGAATCATCAGTCACAATATTCACTTTAACTGAAAAGATAGGAAGTCTTTCTACAGAATCCCAGTATGATAAATATGAACATGAATGAACACTTACTTTAGCCTGAGAGTATACGCCCTCTAGATGGCACTTACAGAGGTACAGATAACCTGCGTATCTGCGTAAATTACGTAAATATTTATGTGCATCAATTCCTTTTAAGTCTAGTGCGTACAAGTACGCATGAATGTCTGTAAATACTCAATAATAAATGTGATCTTACATGCATACACACAAAAATGTCAAATCTTAGCTGAGGTATACTGAGAGGTTCTATTTCAGCAAATTAACTTGGGAAGTTGCAGTCTTTCTGATCGTTTCTCATATTACAGATCAATTATAAATAACACACACTAACATTTAAACTTTATTATATTTTTACAATTAATGGAAACTGGTAAAACACCCCATTGAGTTTGAGCGAGGTATGTACAGTACAACCAGAAATTATTGAGAATTTAAAGATTAAAAAAAAACAACTTTCACTCATTACTCGCGTATTAAATGTGAATATTAGCAGAACATAACTCCAGATTCAAAGACAGATGAACAGTTAGTATTTTGTCAAGTCACCATGGGCAGCAATGCAGGCTTCAATGCGGCGGGGCATACTACTGATCAAAGAAGTTAGAAAGCCGTGGTCCATGCTGTCCCAATATCGGACCACCCATCTTTCATTTCAGCAATATTTGTCAGATTTGTCTTATTGACACTTTCCATCATAAGTCCCCAAACATTTTCTATTGGATTTAGGTCAGGGCTATAGCTTGGCCAATCTAATAATGTCATATTTTGGGTCCGAAACCAGGCCTGTGAATGCTTTGAACAATGTTTTGGGTCATTGTCCTGCTGGAAAATCCATATCTTTCCATAGAACACGTGAGCAGATGGAAGTAAATGTCCCTTGAGAATATATGTGTACCGCTCACTGTTCATATTCCCTTCAAATACACAGAGGGGCGTTTCCCCTAACACAGATATGCCACCCCACACTAAATTTCGGACTGTACTTTGGGCGCTGATACAAAGGTTTTTAAGTTTGTTTGGTCCAGAATTTCAGTGAATTAGGAAACAGCCACACAGAACTTACATCTGAAAAAATCACATTGTCCCAGTTGAAATTTCTATGCTGTAAGCACCAGTTCAACCCTCGCTCCTTTTGTTCAGGTTTCATGATCGGTGATGGAATTCCTCAACTTTTCTGCCAACCCATTGCATGCAGCTCAGTTCTAATTGTCTCCTTACAGACAGCCACAGTTCCTCTATCAATCATATCCAGCCGTAAGTCTTCTAAACTTGTTTAGAAACAAGAATACCAAGCCGCCTCCTGTCACCGACAGTCAATTTTCTGGGCCTACCTGCGCCTCCCTGGTGCTCAATGCCATATCCATTTGCAATATTTTATCAAAACAAGATAAACAGTGGACAAAGGGATGCCTGTTCTACTTGAAATCACTTTAGCTGATCTGATGTCCTTGTTATAATACTCTAAAATCAACTTCCTCTTCTCTAAATCATCCATACTGAGGATCACTGACAATGTCGTCTGCTAGCAAGTAAACGAAGGGGGATAACTCTTCACAAACTAATGAAACAGGATTAACGGAGTTGTCTCTCTTGAATAAACCAAGCACTTGATAGCTGGTCAAGGGTGTTTATACTAGAAATCCAATTAAACATATTCCTAAAATTCTCAATAATTTCTGGTCATACTTGACAGTTTGTTTGGTTACTCAAAGGAAAATTAGGATATCCAATTGAGATGAACATAAGAGAGTACATAACTCAATTACCCAAAACGTTATCTGTAGCTCTGACTTACCTTTGGTGATGGCACAACGGAGAAAGTGTTCATGATTCTGTCGGGGTACTCCTCCCTGATCTTACTGATGAGGAGGGTGCCCATGCCTGACCCGGTGCCGCCACCCAGAGAATGGGTCAGTTGGAAGCCCTGAAGACAGTCACAGCTCTCGGCTTCTTTACGGACCACGTCAAGCACAGAGTCTACCAGTTCGGCGCCCTCTGTGTAGTGACCCTTGGCCCAGTTGTTGCCGGCACCGCTCTGACCGAACACAAAGTTATCTGGGCGGAAGATTTGTCCGAAGGGACCAGATCGGACAGAGTCCATGGTGCCAGGCTCAAGGTCAACCAGCACTGCACGGGGGACATACTTTCCTCCTGCAAACACATACAATACCAAATTACTTACACCCAATAAAATACAGATTCGTGATCACCCAGTGCTAACACTTAATATTTTCATAACATTAAAGCCCTGCATACATAAATCATTGTTAGGCAAAATAAATAGATCCGAACAGTACACTAAAAAAGATTTAACATGTTGACTGCCACCACAAGTACCCTCGTATCAATGTCTAGCCGAATTACCACTATGAGTTATCTCGTAGCTACATCAGTGGTATTTTAAAACAAGTTTCACATGTTGCCAAAACAGGCACAAGAAGCAATCATCTCCTGGCGGTAACCTGAACTTATCAAAATAAAACTTAAGATGTAAGACATTGCAAAGTCCTACAGATGTCAAGTGCAGACAATAACAGTTTAGAGACCAGAACATTACTCCAATGACAGGCAATCACTTCTGAATTTTCAAAAATGAGAACAGCTGATATTAAATTGAATATGTCTTTGTTCATGAGACACACTTTTCCTGTCCACAAACCTGTTGCTTCATTGTAGTACACATTTATTCTCTCCAGCTGAAGATCAGAGTCCCCATGATAGGTGCCTGTGGGGTCAATGCCATGCTCATCCGATATTACTTCCCAGAACTGGAAAATAGCATCAAGAACTTAGGAAACATTTAAACAACAAAGATCTGTCTTCAATTTGAAAATGATCATACTAAGGTTATATGGGCCTGTCCAAAATGACTGGTAAAACTCCCGAAACACTTTAAACTGGATATGACAAAGACATGATTTGTTTCAAAGTATTTATTATCATACTCTCAAAAAAATAGACGCATGTAAAGTAACAATGAATTATTTGACAACTTGAATGAGGCCCTTTAATGGGTTCCTTTCATCGTATAAACACCTCTCTAATTTTATTTAACGAGCCTTCCTTGGATTTAACTAAGATAGGCAATAACTTTGAATAAGAGCGTCGCAATGGGTGAAAGGCATCTCTCAGTGTGTTTTATCACCTCGAAAGTTCCGGTCACTGATTGTACCTCTGAATGCTAAACATCCGTCTCTCGGATATTCAAATAAACATATGAAACGGAAGAGTTTCCATAGCCCGTGAGAAATACTGCCACAATCTCGGGGCATCTATTTGGCATTCTAGAATCTTCTCTACAAAGTTTTTTAAAAACTTCGAATCGAAAACTTTGTCAAAGATCGGTACAAAGCCGAGTCCAGAAAGAGAAGTCGCCATTTTGAAACTTGTGCCGTAAAGCTCGAGAAAGCTCCTTTCTGATTGGCTACTGTCGACTTCTTGCCTGTCATTCCATTGGTCGGTCAAGGTTCGTAAGAGGTTGTTCTAGCGTGACCCGTAATGAGATGTCCTGGGTCTTCAGTATTGCGGGAAGAGGGCACCAACATCTGATGATTATGAGACTGGACGAAAAACACAAAAGGGTACACCTATCACATGTGCGCGCATTGTATGCAAAATCGGTTGTGCAACGTGATAAATGTTTGGGCCATTTTTTTAATTGATTGGTGATAGACAGTGATGACTTAAGTTAAACTAGGGATACTCTACAAAACTCTTATATAGTCTCCCTGGTTAAACCAATATCCAAATGAATAATTATCAACTTTTCCCATTTTGGTACTCAAAGCTGGAGGAAACTATCACGTAAAACCAGCATGTTTGATGGCCTTTTCAAAGATGTTTCAATATGCTTAATCCCGTGACGATATTGCTCACATATTCCTAATTTATGTCCCGCGTATATCCCCTGGTACTTGGTGCTTCACATTGTGTAATGTATTATCAGGTCTTTGGAAACAGTTGACTAACACGACCATCCTTCATAAACAGGCATGGCGCGATGATTCAGCGCCCGATCAGCATTGGTGCCGTCGACCTAGCTGCCAACATCACAACATCACCTAATGCGCAAACTCGACATTATTCATTCTCAGTCTTATTCACTCTGGTCTGAATCATGACACATGAGCTGTTTTAGGTAACAAATATGGCAAACATAGGTCCTCATTACTTTCTATAATATCACTATTATACTATGACATTTAGTGCATGTTGCCTAAACTTTACCAGTTATCAGAATACGCAAGTATACAGTACGCCTTGCACTGGATCGGTATTGAGTGATCATATGCTTGTTGATGTATATTAATAATGATATTCGGTGTATCTAATTTCTGTTTCTGGATAGATAATTTATGTTAGACATCACTGCGTCATCATATTAATATTAACTTCCCAGTCAATGAGTTGCAGGATGAAAGAACATTTAATGCAATGAAAGTAGGTCACTGACGATGGGGATTTAAATGGTTTACTACACACGTATTAAAAACCATAAAGCTGCATTAATTAGATTTAATCTGTTCTGGTCAGACTAAACAAACGAAAGGTTGGAAGGCAGAAGTTGAATTTGATTGTCTACGGTGTCGTTTACCAACACAGAATTATACCACATCAATTTGTCGTGACAAAATGGGACGAAGCATCCCTTATTCCAAGGAATATAATTTTGGTAAATCCCTGAAAAAACACACTATTTTCGAGGGCTTACCTTAGCACCAATCTGGTTGCCGCACTGACCAGCCTGGATATGGACGATTTCACGCATATTGATGTAAATTTGGAGATAACCCTTTAAAGTATGTTGCACACCGTGCCTCTGAGAGGGATAACCGTTGAAACTGGCCTCGTAGCCGTTCAGACAAGTATTTATATGCAGAGAGGAATTCCTCCGCAATTTCGTCTCTTTTCATTGGCTGGAACAGCCTTTGACGGACTAATTCGTCTGCTAATACATAACTTATGGTATTTGTTCCCGTGGTTACGCATCTTTATTAATCTTAATTTTCAGAGTTATGCTGCTTCATGGAGATGATATGCACAGACGCACTTGTATAAATGTCAATTAATATTGCATAATTATTATATCGGACCGAACTAAGCGTAATAATACTTCAACGCTGAGCGTGACGTCATGAGAATTTAAACTCTCCGGCGATTGGTTGGTCGCTCCTTCCAACCTTTGTGTTGGGTGATTATGGACGTTATACTACTGTCAGACAAACGGTCTATGAATAATGTCTAAATACATCCGTCTGTCGAGCATTTATTAATATTATTATTATCCATGTGTCAGATCGTATTATTTATACATTTGTGGATATCGCGTTGGACGTTTATTGATGATTTGTAATGCTCATAAATGTATACTGACTAGGCTTTGGCAAGTTCCAATAATAATAATAATTATTAAAAAGTATGTTGCTAGCTTTATAGATCTCCGTGTATTTCTAAAGGGTGAAACCCACGTGTGTGCGTTTGTCAATGCTATTGAATCTTTACAAAAACCATGCCTTTCTGTTTACATTTATACGAGAACACGTGATCTTGTTGAAAATAAACTGAGGTAGTTGTAGGGAATACAGTTTATGTGTACATGTGCTTCATCAGTGTGAAAAAGCGAAGTGTCGAAAACAGGACAGTTGGATACATCGCTCTTATGACTGAAACGATGACAGATTCAGACATTAAAGCAGGACAACCCCAAGTGACTGTGCACACATTTACCGAACATGTCATGGATACCACTGTGCTTTATCAAGTTATCAAAATGAGCGATAGTTTCCATCTTTGGGTCGGAGCGAAACCGTCTCTTGAAAATATGGCTCTTGCAATGAACACCCGATTTGTAAGTCATCGTTTCATGATTGGAAAAGTAAAATTCCAAGTGACATCTTCATTCACATGTGTAAAATAGTATTATGAATTACTACTGATTGTTCGGGTTGACTATACGTTTGGGAGGCGCTTAAAAACGTATTTCGATACGCACCGGGGATTATTTTAGCGACAAATGACAACATTGGCCATTAACAAATTAAAAAACCCCAACAACATCCCTTCTACGTCATGAGGGCTAACATCTGTTTGATATGGGGCATTTGTCGGAAGTTCTGAATTGGTTGTGTAGATCGGGTTATAGCTAAAACGGCACCAAAACGGCACCGTATTGGCGAAAACGGCTACTGATTTCTGAGCTAAAACGGCACCATATACAAAACACAGTATAATATTGACTTTTATGTTTTAGTTCGTTTAATTATAACATTAGCAATCAACATATATAAAACACAGTATGACGTTGACTTCATTTCATAACATTAGCAAGATTATAACACGTGATATGTAATGTGTACATTCTTGCGTTTTAAATACAGTTTCATTTTGACTCTTAGTTTGGGCGATTTGAGTTGAGTAAATGTACTTGAAACATCAAAGGTTGTGATGTTTTCAAGCTAAATTGGCATGCTTTTCTACAAGCTGATTATCGGCTATGGGATTCACTTTACAATCACTGTCGGCAGAATAGTCATTCATTATCTAAACATACTGGAATCCGATTATCAGCTAACTAACTATCAGATTATCTAATGACAAATAAGATTTCCCCAATAATTAAGATTTTATTTGGTGCCGTTTTCGCCATAAGATTTGTAGCCGTTTTCGCCAAGTCAAGGTTCCGTTATGTCCAAATGGTGCCGTTTTCGCCAGGTGACGTTTTGCTGTGGTGACGTTTTAGCCTGATCCCGTGTAGATCCCACTGGTTGTTCAAGGGCAATATAGACTTGCCCAATCATTCTAGACTTGAGATGGACTTCTTTTGTATGTATAACCGTGAAGATCTGGGTTAGAATATTGATCTTCAGTAACCATGCTTGTCGTAAGAGGCGACTAATGGGATCGGGTGGTCAGGCTCGCTGATTTGGTTGACACAGGTCCTCGGTTCCCAAGTGCGTATACATATCGATGCTCATGCTGTTGATCACTGGATTGTCTGGTCCCTACTCTATTGTTTACAGACCACCGCCATATAGCTGGAATATTGCTGAGTGCAGCGTAAAACTAAACTCGCTCACTCACTTTTGTATGTGATCTGCAGTCAGTAGGAATCGATTATTGTGAGCCAAATACTGTATTGTTTGCATCTTTTAATGGCAAATGATTTGAGACTTCCACTGAAAGTATTTATAAGCTGTTTTATACCATAATTTACAGGGAAATATTTTTATTATATTCAGAAGAGAACAGAATGGTTTAAAGGTCACATGCAACCAAAAAATCAAACATAGTTAAAACACAGTTATCACTTATTCATGACATATAATATACATTGCTGGTTATGAAAAAATATATAAACAAAATTATAAGCGTGCAATCGCAAATCAAAAGTGCAATATTTTGTACTTGGGTTTACTTCCCAAAAAAACGAACCCAGTCAGCGCGGGTGGGTGTGCACTCAAGTGTAATGGCTGGTTCATTTGCAGATGCCCTCATGGCTCATTGTGTATGTATATATAGAGATGTTGGGTTTTGTAAATACATGTACATGCTAATTTTTTGTGTATATCATTTTGCAATCAACAGATATCATAACATGTCATGTGTACAAGTATCACACCTGCCTGTCTGTGTAATTACATAATGTGACAGAGACCGAACTCGACCCATAAATCAATGCGTTTTGTTTATGGTGTATAGCGTGATTGGTGTTAAGTTCAAATTGCATGTGGTCAGTGATCGAAGTTGTGTATTGAATATTGTCATTAGCAGACAGGCAGGGAGACACATAGGTGTCAATAAAACAGACATTGAGTTTTGTCTGTGACAATGACATATCTATGTCACAGAAATTCTGTCAACGCTAAATAATGACATTGCTTTTAAGTATCAAACTGAGAAAGTGACTCGGTAAGAAGAATGTGTGGTAAAATAGACAAATGATATTATATAAACAGTTAAATCGGTAATCTACTGTCATAACATATACAAAGCTCGCGCCTGTGAAATATCAACAAAACATTAGAAAATAGCTGAGACCAAAGCCTTCACCGAGTATTCACCGGACAACCCGCTTCCAAGCTGCGTGAACTTATTTCACTGCGCATGTGCTATGAGCGCAGCCCAGCGCGGCGTAGTCCAGCTGTTGAAACCACTTTTCCCCCAAGCGCTGGGGGAAAATTAGTGAATCGTTTGAACTCCGATTTCGTGCGTTTTTTTTCATTGCGTTATTTTTCAACATTATAAGTTGAATTTGCATTTTTGATGATTTTGATGATAAGTCCATACCGAAAGGTATCAGAATCTGCAAAGTTGTGTTTTACGTTGCATGTGACCTTTAATAAGGCAATCCACTGCTGGTCACAGGCCAGTCTGTTGTTGACCAGGTGGCTCTCACTGGACAAACAGTAGACACACTATTCAAAGATGCATTAACAACACATAAAAGGATAACGCGTACTTGTCAGCATAAATATTGTACATTTTGTTTTTATTTTGTCAAATTTCAAAATGATTTAATAACACAAATTTATTAATACAAACTATAAATATAAAGTTGTAATGTCCTGAAGAATTAAGAATTGTATTAGCAGCGTTTAAAATTCCCACCTGCCTGACCGTCTGGAACAGTCTATTTTCATCTTAGACTGTCAAATTTCAAAAGTAGCCTGTCCGGGTGGTCTTGTAGATGTTTTACCCCTTAACAGTAAATATTTCATAATATCAGACAGACCCGTGAAGATCCGGGTTAAAATTGATCTTCAGCAATCCATGCTTGCCACAAAAGGCGACTATGCTTGTCGTAAGAGGCCACTAATGGGATCGGGGGGTGACTCGCTGACTTGGTTGACACATGTCATCGGTTCCCAATTGCGCAGATCAATGCTCATGCTGTTGATCACTGGATTGTCTGGTCCAGACTCGATTATTTTCAGACCACCGTCATATAGCTGGAGTGTGGCATAAAACTAAACCCACTCACTCACTCTTTATTATTATTATTATATTATATTTTTTTTTCACCCATGTTCAGAATCTGGTGGCTACATGAAACACATAAAAAAAAGATGATGCCCTTACAGAAGTTAGCATCCATGAATTTGCCCAGTCCTAAGTCAATGATTTACATGCAAGAATTGCTGAGGGTGGCATGTAACAGTAAACAAACAAATCACATGCTAAAGTTTATGTAGTGTAAATTCATGTAACTGATGATATATATATATGAAAACGGAGTAATGCTATACTATATATACTAAACTTGTAATCAGGTTAAATATACAAGTATTAAGCCCGCTCTTCAGCAAATAATGCTTCATTGTGTATAATGTTACTGTTATACAACAGATTTCACAACCCAATCACCCCAGGAGTCAATTGTCCAAGTACTCAGCTGTGGGTGATATAACAGTTATAGCCACTGGGCTAATGATCAGAAGCTTCACACTTCAGTTACCTGGGAAACTAAGGCTGAACATTTTATTTATGGTTTTAGATATTTAGGGATGCATTCAGGCTGTGGGATTGTCGGATATACCATACACAGATATTCATTACTTCTTCAAAATGAATATTCAGTTCACCACATTTCACATGAAAAAGTTTGTTGACCTTTTGCAATAAATGAATGAAACAAAAATAACAGTATGAACAACACTTTAGTAATTATCATGTGCTGTGACTTGTATCTTGAACAAAAACAATGATCACTGCTAATCATGATATCCTGAGGTATCTATGGTCAAAGTCAAACATTCTGATTGCTTTCTTGGAAATTGTGAGTGAGCACTATCACTGTTCTTGGAGTGCTCAAATAATGAGGTCATAAACTTAAAAATTATTAAACATGCTGGCCCATGTTCAGACAGATGTTGGACCACTTAATGAATCTGTGGGTCTATGGCCCAGTTTAAAAGCTGGATGCATCCCTGGAATTTTTCTGACCCTACTATTTGTTTAGATGAAAAGCAATGCCAATTACATTTGTGTAAGGGGTGGTGGGGTAGCCTTGTTGTTGAAGCATTCGCTCATCACGCGGGTCCAATGTGTGAAGACCCCACGGGTTCTGGAATCCCCTACATGGGTACAATGTGTGGAGCCCATTTCTGGAAGACCGGGTGTCCCCACATGGGTACAATGTGATATTGCTGGAATATTGCTAATATTGCTAAAAGCGGTGTAAAACCATTCTCGCTCACATTTGTGTAGATCCACAAATTTTTTAGTCATAGCTATTGTTAAATTTGTTTGAGTGTCTCGGTGAAGCATAAAGAAATAAATACCAAGTCTAGACAGGATATTTACTGTTTTTTAAATGCACTGATATCCACATGCATTTCTTCTGACAGAGACAAAGCCCTTTTCCAGTTTTTTTAGTGGTAGCAGTGTCCACAGTTTATGAATAAAAATTAAAATTCACATATGAAATATTATGTAAGAAATAAAGTTACATTTAGTTAGAATTTTGTACTTGAAACCTTTGCAATCCTAATCAATCAACGAAGGTGCCAGACAAGTAAAAATAAATCAGACAACGTGTACTCCTTTTTCACGGTTGTCCTTAGTGCCAAGGTGACTCCATACCTTAAACGAGAAGTGTCCACAAAATAATCATGTTTGGGCTATGAAACTACTTGACAAACATTTTTATGCTGAAAAAGTGCAAGACAAAAATGTTAAATTTTGTGTGAACTTGCCCTTTAACACAGAGTCTCAGTTAGTGATAACGTTGTTTTGTACAATAGCACCCTGGTCTGTCGGTCTGGAGGCTGAAACATGACAACAGTGTTGCCCATGTACTACATATATTAGAGATATACACTGGATTTCAAACAAATTGCTGCCTGTGAAGATCGAGGGTTTGAATTCATCTTCAGCAACCCATGCTTGTAGGAGGTGACTAACGGGATCAGGTGGTCAGGCTCACTGACACTAGTGTTGGGAATTGGTTGAAATCTCACAATTGATGATTGCTTCATTACCAATTTGGTTAGCGTCATTTTTCAGATTTTCCTATCCAGGTTGTTACTGCAGATACCGGTAGGTATAAGATGATGAAACTTGCTACTTTAAAGTCATGACTAATATATCATGACCATAAACTTCCCGGAGTCTTCAAGAAATATTCAGTCATGACTTTTCAGTTTGTGAAGTGATTCTTCAAAGAATTAAACAAGTTTTCAGGCCCTGACAACTTCGAAGATATGTTCCATCGTCAAGTGTTTCAAAGACTAAAACAGTAGTTCCAAAATCGTTAGTGTTCGATTATGAGTAGATGTGATCGATTGCTTGGTCATTTGGTCACTGCAACCAATCTTCGATTATTTCAATAAATCGGGAACACCACTAACACATGTAATTGTATCCCAATTGATGCTCTTGATATTGATCACTGGACTGTCTGGGCCAGACCCGATTATTTTACTGACTGATGCCATATAGGTGAATACTGCTGAGTATTAGGGGTGGGTATTGCAAGGAATTTTCATATTGCGATAAATTGCGATGCGAAAGCATGTATTGCGATATGTATTGCAATATATTGCAAGAATTTTTCTTGAACAAAAATACCTATAATCGAGTTACTGCGTGATTTATAAAGCAAAAACGCAACAAAATCACAATGCTTGATTAGGCGTTAATAAAATCCTTTAATCATGACAAAATAAAAATGTAAATATTGTTTGGCACAAATGAAACAAGGAAAGGAACAATTTAAAAAACGGAAATATCCGAAGATTTACGAGTGTTACGAAGTTTTCCGAATGCATGTCAAAATACCGGTTTTCGATCAGCGTATCGCAGTACGTATCGTTTTCATGTTTGAACCGGTAAATACCGGTAAACTGGTTATATTGCGCAGCCCTACTGAGAATGGCATAAAACAACAAACAAATTGCTGACAGATGAAATTATAGCAGAATTAATATATTTTAAAAGGTTTTGGGTTTTTTTAGTTTCAAAGGTATATTTCTGTTTATTGTACTGTTATCAGAAAAACAAGTCACCTTGATGTAGCTGTCATATTAATAACAAACTTTTGACATGAGTATGTAATTTATGTTTTTCTGTTGTGGAAACTTGACCTGCATTCACAGCAGATTTTGGGCACGTTTTGGGCTCTGAGTGGATACACGTGTGTTGTGGGTTTTATACTCGTCTTTCTAATATACAGGTAATATGGCTCGGTCTTTCTAATATACAGGTAATATGGCTCTGGGCCAGAGTAAGAGTGCTCAGTTCACAGGGATGTGTAGATATGTACATGATAACAGATCTACCTGATAACTTTACTGATATAACCTGCTAGTGGGCTGTTGGTAAAGTTGTATGTACACTGTAGATATGGACATTTTCCATATATTGACTGCAAGGATCAGTTAAAATGTATTGGTCAGTTTGAAAGTTCTAAATTCTAAAATTGGTATCAATACTTGATGAAACAGGTGCCTCTTTGTTCTGAAGATGTACAATGTTATGTTTAGATAAAGCAAAAACATACCATCATTAAAGGTAGAATACCTGGATGTGGTCATTTACCACTTATGTATATGTGGCGGCGGTCTGTAAATAATCGAGTCTGGACAAGACAATCCAATGATTAACATCGTGACCATCGATCTACGCAGGTGGGATCTGATGACATGTGTCAACCAAGTCAGTGAGCCTGACCACCTGATCCCGTTAGTCGCCTCTTACGACAAGCATGGGTTAATGAAGACTAATTCTAACCCGGATCTTCACGGGTACTAGTTGTCAAGAAATTCACTCTACAAAGTTACACCCCTCAAGCTTCCAGGATCTAATTATTGGTTTGAATCCCAGATTAATCCTAAATGTGAAAGATGAAAGCCGGTGATGTGCTTCAATGGTTGCATCTAACTGTTACAAGTTGGCATTTGATGTTACGCTGCATAAAGAAGGTGAAACCAGGACGGGCTGACTTGAGTTTACTGTCTTAGTGGGTTATCTACGTTAGACTGTGGGACACCTCTCCTTGCCCTGACTGTGATCTATATTAATGCAGTGGTTTATTTCATTGTTTCTAGGAAGCTCAGCCTCTTGCCAGCCACTTGTTTGGAGACAGCTCAAACCCAACTGCAATGAGTCTAGCACAGAGATTGGGTAAGACTTAGTGTTGGGAATTGGTTAAAATCTAACATTTGATGATTGGTTCATTACAACCGATCAATCATCGAAAAAAATTGGTTAGCGTGATTTATCAAATTCTCCTGTTTATGTTTGTTAATGCACAAAAAATATAGAAGAAACATGTACTTCTTTCGGTGTTTTTTTTGTAAATTGCACAATATGCATTTACAAATTTCACATCTTTAAAGGAGGACTAGCATGTTAGGAACATAAATTTCCTGGAATCTTTAAGATAATTTCAATCATAACAAGGAACGAGCTTGTAGTACTTATGAAATGTAACAGACAAAACCAACCTTATGAAAAATGTTGTTAATGCAAACAAGTGTGCCAAAATTCTGTGTGTTCGATTATGAGAAAACATGGTCGATTGCTTGGTCGTTTAGTCATTGCAACCAATCTTCGATTATTTCAATTAATCGGACCACCACTAGTAAGACTGACATTTAGTTGTGCTTAATAGTATGTTCAGTTGTCATAACTCTGGCTAATGGCTTAATTGGTCATACAGAATTAACAAACAGGACAAACACATCATGAGAGCATTCATGGAATTCCTCATAGTTAATGGGTCGTTTGCTATGTGAAAAGTTATGAGATCACACTTAGAATAGGACAGTATATGACATGAAATGTCAGTTGCTATAGATAGAGTAGATGATCTGTACATACAATATCACTTGTATTGAGGTTAATGTTCACCTGTTTACACGAAGCTATTTTGGGAAGCTGTCGACCCAAACACATTACAGAAAATGTTATCAATTACATCGCTACCCATTGAGAAAGCCTTTCCTGTTTGTGAAACAGAGCTCATTCAAATATGACTGACTGACTGAGTTTAGTTTTACGCCGCCGCTTTTAGCAATATTCCAGCAATATCACGGCGGGGGACACCAGAAATGGGTTTAACACATTGTACCCATGTGGGGAATCGAACCCGGGTCTTCGGCGTGACGAGCCAATGCTTTAACCACTAGGCTATCCCACCGCCCCATATTCAAATATGAAAAATGATTTATGGTAACAGTGCTCTGCATGCATTCATGTGTCATATGTGTAGTATTAAGAAAAGTGGTGATTTGTTGATTGGAATGTGGGACCTGCTTCATTGTTATCATTTCTATCATGCCCTGATTTATCGGGTTCAATTGATTATTTACATGAGTGAGTGGGTGAGTTTGGGTTTACGCCGCACCCAGCAATATTCCATCTATATGGCGGCGGCTGTAATAATCATGTCTGGACCAGACAATCCAATGATCAACAGCATGACCATCAATCTATGCAATTGGGAGACAATGACGTGTCAACCAAGTCAGCGAGGCTGACCATCCGATCCTGGTCAGAGTGAGGCATTGGAGCCACTCAAGGGCATCATTGTATACTGCTTGCAGGACATGTTTAAAGAGACAAGAACAACAAGACCAAGCTCTTTAACTTCCTTTAACTAATTTGTCTTGCCACCAACCAATCATAAATCTGGAAGGACTTGTAACCATGATGAAACAGATGCTGGTACACACATTTTAGTGCGTGTTACAGACATGCTACAACAGAGGGTAAGGCCAAACCAATTTTATTTCTTGTTTTAAGGATTCGCAGGTCGTATATTTTCAAGATTAAGAATTTTTTTGTATTGATTTTCCCCGCTCAAAATATAAAATCCTAATGTTAATGTGATATAAGTGAAATACTCTTGAAATCAGTGTGAAACCTAAACTGACACAACTTATTTTTAGTTGATATTAACAAACCAAAAAGAGTTAACATGGAAACTCATGTGGGTTTTTGCTTTGAATGGTGATTTTAAAAAAATTATTTTTCCCTCCTGCCTTTATGTTTTTTGAGTACAAAAATCCATAAAACAAGAAATAAAATTGTTTTGGCCTATAGGAAAAAAACAAAGAAAAAATACCTTATAAAAATAAATAGAAAAAGATAACACAAAAATACATACAAATAAATGAAATAATGAAAATGATCAAATATAGCAATTAAAAAGGTTGTGGTCATTTAAAGATTAGTACAACTGGCTCCTGATTTTGAACTCACATGCATCCTCATCAAAACCGTTTAGTTTGCTCATCTATTTATATTAATAGAAAATTATATCAATTACTTGAAATGCATGTCATTTTTAATTTTTGTGTGCCAAACAGGGTTTTATAAGAAAGTATTCCCAGGGGACTATTAGTATGCATATTAAAACTTACCTCACAGAATGAGTTATTTGTCATCAGGACCAATTGAAGGACGAGGATCTATTGTATTACATAATATAACATAATACACCTTAATTTAAGATAATCTGAACTTCCCAAATTTGCAAATCGGTGGGGTACCTTATTTTTTTAAGCATTTTCTCATCGAGCTCAAGACCCGGGTTCGATTATGCAATGGGTACAATGTGTGAAACCCATTTCTGGTGTCCCCTGCCATGATATTGCTGGAATATTGCTAAAAGCGGTATAAAACTACACTCACTCACGAACGATATCACCCTGGACACATGGGCGTGACATGTTGGGATGAATATCTGGCCACGTCAGCATGCTGATAATTAGACATTAGTTAGACATGACTAATATACTGGTAGGGACCGTCTCAAAATCATTCATGGTAATTATCACTGAATCTGTGCACAGTGGTGTATGACACTAAGCACGGATATGACAAGTAACGCATGTAGCAACATACGAGGCAACTACTGATAAATGGAGGGGGCTCAATCTTGGTGATTTAGTGCCCTTTGTCACAGCTCTGTGTAGAGCTATCAATCATGACTCAAAATATTGATCAGTGGTCTCTGATTTGATTATTTACTACTAAATGTCATATGCCTGGAGTATTGTTGCGTGGGACGTTTAATAGCAGACCAACGAACCTAAAGGGAATGCTGCTAAAATGATTGGATTGACAGTCTGGCACTCTTCATGCATTATATGTCATAAACATCTGGACCAGGGAGGCTGAAACATACTTGTTCCCAGTAGTAATGACAACAACACCCCCTAACCCAGTCTATTCAAGAAGTTTGAAGCCAGTTTTCAATCAGCTGTCATGGCAGCCATATTAAAGAGCCTATTTACAGGGGCTTGTAAGGCAAATATTGGACATCAAGGTATATAGAACTATATATGTCAATATGTCAAGTTCTTTTCAAGGCAAACTCAACGATGCTCCCTATATATACCCCTATAAAACTTACAGGCATTTCAAGCCTATAGTTTTGCCTACAAAATATGACAGATCGTATAAAGCGAAACTGTAATTTGGGAGTTGGGGTCTTTGGGATGCTCAAAATAAAAACGTAATTTTCTGATTCCGATTCAAAATCCAAAAAATCCAAAATCCCTAATCACTAATCTCCATTCTTTTCAAGACACTTACGCCTAACTGTCATAGTGAGTTTACATACATTTATTCATCGCAAGCAGGCTAGTGTTGTGCCCATTCACCATTGACGACCTTGGCCATGACTTACCCTGCATTGAAAACAGATAGTGGTCTGAATGGCTATAAATAACAGAAATCCCATCAGATCGTTTGTGGCCATATCTGGACAATTTTCAGAATGTTATGAAATTCAAGTTAGTGGTTAGAAATTATTTGAGTGAGTGAGTTAAGTTTTACCCCCGCACTCAGCAATATTCCAGCGATTGCAGCGGTCTGTAAATAATAGAGTCTGGACCAGACAATCCAGTGACCAACAGCATGAGCATCGATCTACGCAATTGGGAACCAATGACATGTGTCAACCAAACCAGCGAGCCTGACCACCCGATCGATCCCGTTACAGTCCGTTTGGCTCAAAAGCGGACCGATGAATTGCAATCTAACTCGAAAACTAATAAACATAACATACTCAATGAAACGCTGATCATAATCAAAACATCATACCCACTCTGTGAGGTTTTTGCAGAATTTTTGTCTTAAAAATAATAAAGTTGTTTAACAAACTATCATTAAAATATTGACACAGTTCACTGTTTGTTACGAGGGAGGAGTGCAGAGAAAGGGACAGCCAGGTGTTCGAGAAGCACGTTCACAGACAAAGTTATTTATTCATTCACCTGTGCTGTGCAGTCTCCATCCGTTCTCGAACACCTGGCTGTCCCTTTCTCTGCACTCCTCCCTCGTAACAAACAGTGAACTGTGTCAATATTTTAATGATAGTTTGTTAAACAACTTTATTATTTTTAAGACAAAAATTCTGCAAAAACCTCACAGAGTGGGTATGATGTTTTGATTATGATCAGCGTTTCATTGAGTATTTTATGTTTATTAGTTTTCGAGTTAGATTGCACTTCATCGGTCCGCTTTTGAGCCAAACGGACTATAGTCGCCCTTACGACAAGCATGGGTTACTGAAGGTCATTCTAACCCAGTCCTTTCACGAGTAGAAATTATTTGAATATCAATGTGACGCCTTTGAAGAATGGCCATCTATTTTCAGTACATATATAGGTGAGCTACAGTAACTCTGTTTATTGTATTTGATACCACCATCACATTGCTTGGTTAATTGCTTGAAGTAGTGTGAAACTCAAGTATTTGGTTTCTCTGTCATAAAGTGTTATTTCATAGTCAGAGCCACCACTGTTTTGCCTGGTTCTGTATAATGAATCATTAATCATGAATCCCTGAATTAATAATGAGGTAACTAAGTTGAAAAATTAACAAGTCTGTCTGGGGCATCAGTTTTGTTTCTGAAGCTTATGAAACGTGTCAACAACATTCTATAAATAGTCTCACAGTTAGGAACAAGCAGAATCTATTTTCTGACTTAACATTGGTGAATTCTAAAAATAAACCGGCAAGTCTCTTAACCAGTACTTCATACATGCAGTAGACAGACAGACTTGGGCAATAGCCTTGGCAACTGCAACATGACATGCCGACTGAGCCAGCTTGTGTTATGTCTGTACAGATGGCTATTATTGTATCAAAGTTGGTTATCTCATTCAAATTGCTATCTCACACTAATTGTTATCTCGTAATACTGGACATCTCGAGGTGCTGGATATGTAGGGTACTTGGCTAGGAATGTAGAGAGAGTGATTAACAATTTTTATATGTATGTTGTGTCAGACTGACTTTTTCTCCCAAAATATAGTTACCTCATTTGTATATGAATAACACTAAGGTTAATATTTATATAGCTCCTGTTCAAACAAATTGTTCAGAGGCACTCAGGCTTAGGCAGTGTCAATGAGAATTCAAATATATATGTTAGAAAAGTTAAAACAAATAGAGCCCAGTACAATGTTAATTTCAGTGTAGAAGCTGAGGTAATCTAGACTTGCCCAGTGATTCACGACTTGAGTTGCACTCTTTTTATACCCCAACCTAACAGAAAACTTCTTTTAGTGCGACCTATACATTGTAGCTTAAAAAAATATGGTGAGATTCTTTTCTAACTATTCAAGATAGAGAGATGCAGTGTGAAGATTAATTTCAGTATTTCAGATATTTTCTTTTGACATGAATATTTTCACTTTAACATCTTTGCTTAAAACTTGAAAACTGTTGAAAGAAGCCTTTTCAAATTTAGAGAATGGTTTCCATACTAATAGACGTTCAGTGCAAAATATGATTTTTATATGTCTGTTTGCTGAAAAAATATTATCTGGTTTCATGTTTTGAACATGAATGTTATTCACTTCAACATTTGTGTAACGTATATATTAAAACTACTTCATGGTGGATTCCTTTTCCACATTTTTGGTACCAATTGGAAACACACTACAAAGTTTGATATCAATAAGTGGGTTTTCTGAGAATACATTTGTGTTCTTCCTTGTCAAGTGAAGTGTACCTTATCCGGCAAAGCTTGATGATGATGTACCAGTGTATCTTTGCAAAATGCCATTTACTATTGATATTGTGTTGCAGTTATTGCTGGGAGTCAAGGTCAAGGTTATTAGTGAGGCCTGTTAACTTTGTTATAATGTATTCTGTAGGGTCTGTAGAGTGACGAGCAAACGCTTTAACCTCTGGGCTACCCCAGCCCCCCATTCTATAGCGATACATTGTTGATAGTTGATGTTCAACTACTTCAATTTGTTTTATCTTGCCTCACACATAAATGTCGTTTTCTGATTGGCTGAGCTCTCTTCTATTATTTTCAATGTACCCCGCTTACAAGCGAGTAACATTTTCTATGTACCCTGTTGGGAATGCCGAACTCATTTGGTACTTCGTAGTAGTGATTCTTTATCTCGAATAACATTGAATCACGCATGATGTATGGAAATTACCGATGTTTTGAGAATGCAAATCGAGGGAAGGTAGATAACTCTAAATTTGTTTTTCTTGTCGTCTTGTCGTCTGGTACTCCATACTATGATCCGATACCCGTGCTTCAAACATTTAAAAATTACCATTGAGGTGTTTGGTAAGATAAATACCTTGTTCACTAGTCCCTCGGGGCCCATGGGTTGATGTACCCACACGATGTTTCTTTATGTTCCCCATCGGGCTCAGGGAACATAACAAACATCGAGGGTACATCAGCCCATAACCCCCTCTAGACCAGTGAACAACAATAATGTTCACCTTACATGTTGTAGCATGATTTTGAGATGAGGTGGCTAAGGTTCATAGGTGTGCAGTTATACAGTTTTGCACATCTTCTGTATGGAGGCCAGTGGGGTGGCCTAGTGGTTAAAGTGTTAGCTCATCATGCCGAAGACCTGGGTTCGGTTCCCCACATGGGTGTCCCCGGTCGTGATATTGCTGGAATATTGCAGAAAGCGGGCATCAAACTAAACTCACTCACTCATTCTTCTGTATGGAAGAATCACCTAGGCTTGGTGTAGCTTGGTGTATATATGCAGAAAGTATTTCAGTAACAATGCTTACAGCAAATCTTGTGGCCTCTCTGTTGATATTTACACTGTCCTCTTCGATCCAGGTGAGCTACACTGCTGTGGCACTATGTTTAGGTGAGTTTCCTGGTATTGTAATAATGACCACATATATATTTGTTCCTCTTACAGCTAAGAAGACAGGGAAGCAGGTGTTTGTGAGCTGCAACATTGGATATGATCAGCTGGCCATGCCCGTGGTGGAGAAGCGGATTATAGAGGAGATGAAACAGAGGCCGGAGATGTTCTGAACCTTCACGGAGACAACAGATGGTCAAACTTCAGGTAACCTTTGGGGACAAAAAAAATGAAAAAATATCCAAAACCACAAACCTGGAACTGTTTGTCAAATTATTAGATATAACTTGTCTGTTTTCCCTTAATTTTGTTTCAGTGCTGAACTAAAACGTATGTTGTAGTAAAAACACTGCAGAGTTTTTGTTGAAAATATGACAAAAAATGACCATGGACTTCTTCAGACTCATCTGGGGCGGTGGGGTAGCCTTGTGGTTAAAGTGTTGGCTCGTCATGCCGAAGACCCGGGTTCGAATCCCCACATGGGCACAATGTGTGAAGCCCATTTCTGGTGTCCCCCGCTGTGATGTTGCTGGAATATTGCTAAAAGCGGCGGTATTCATGCGGCGTAAAACCAAACTCAGTCAGTCAGACTAATCTTACTGCAAGAAATACCAAAAAAACTGTAAAAACCCATGAGGATACCTGATTCATATTGTGGCTAAACATTACAATAGCCATGCTATCAATCAAAGTCATTAACTAAGAAAAAACGTGTTCAACTGAAGTCAGTGACGTTTGTCCAGTGATAAATCAACATGACATGCTTATGTATATTAGTAAGCGTTCTGTGATGTACAGTGGACACACTTTCTTGGAATACCCAAGCATGGGTAACGGCAAGTGAGATTTTTACAGTATTTGAAGAAACTTTAAGAATAGGGTGACATCACAATAGGTTTGGAGACAGTGTAAAAATACATGACCCCAACTCTGCTTGTGAATGCAGAGGGTGTGTATGTGTATGCATGTGTGGCTGGCTGTCTGTCTGTGTGTGTGTGTGTGTGTGCGTGTGCGTGCGTGCGTGTGTGTGTGCATGTACATGTGTGCAGGAGGGGCAGGGTGCACTCATCTCTTTTCAGTCTCTTTTTATCTTCACCCAACTTGTCAACAGATCCTGGTTTTTGTTCTCACAGACCCTGTGTTGCTGCTACTCCAGTTTCTAAAGTATTATTGGCAGATCCCACCTACTAACCTACTACCTTGCTGATCCTGAGATTTGTTTTGCAGATTGTGGAATCATGGGAAATCATAGAGATGTCCCAGACAGGTCAACTGAGCCGTCACACTACTGACCCCTTTGGGTTTCAAGTGGACTGGGATGGACAAGGAAAGGGGACAGTCCATTCAGACATACAGGGGTGTTTTGCACATATTTGGTTGAGGAGATGAAGAAAATGTGAAGCAAATGTTTTGGTAGTAAATTACCAGGATGTTACACACTCAAGGCAACATTAACTATGCCTGTTGACAAACATTTTAAGGTGAAATAAAGCTCTTTGTTACATACATGGTTTTGGGTCTTTTAAACATTTGACTCAAAAAGCAGAATGCCTGTGGGTATCCCGTGTCTCAGGTTTGTTGTGCATGTCATTTGGGATATAGCAATCGGCATATTGTTCCCAGAAGAGAACTCCGAAACTGTTGAATATTCTTTTGCTATACAGACAACTCTAGTGGAGAAGTGGTGCCTCTTGATGGTTTGGTGTTTGTATTGTTTTCCTGTTTTAAATGTATTTTTACAGATTGTGCTCATTTCCAGAGCAGAACTCTAAAATTGTTATTTCTTGATGAAATTGATCATATAGATCAGTCTAGTGGTGAGTACTGCCTTTTGATTGTTTGGGATATTGAAAAAATACTGAACAGCATTGTCGTTTTCATTCACTGAACTGAAGGTTCCTAGTGACATTGATCCGAAACTTGGGTGTAAGTAGCCAAACTCCATTTGTAAGTGACTCCTGACCAGGGGGGATATGTGAGTGAGTGAGTGGTTTTAGTTTTACGCCACACTCAGCAATATTCCAGCTTTATGGCGGAGGTCTGTCAATAATCGAGTCTGGACCAGACAATCCAGTGATCAACAGCATGAGCATTGATCTACGCAATTGGGAACCGATGACATGTGTCAACCAAGCTAACGAGCCAATTCCGGTAGTCGCCTCTTATGACAAGCATGGGTTACTGAAGATCAATATTCTAACCTGGATCTTCACGGGTTAGGAGGATATGTCATCGGGTGTTGACTCTTGTTACTGCTCGGGAATACAACTTGAGGTCAGCACTGTAAATTCTATACAAATCCACAGGAAACATGTTTAGTGTTATCCAAAGGACAAGCTCTGATGCAGACAGTGTAAGATCATATAAGAGTCTTCTTGTCCCTTTTTCAACATCAATGTCAAGCTGCATGTAAATCTTAGAACTGTTTATGCCACAAAGGTTTGAACAGTAAACACCCTGGAACAGTTGCTCCAGCTTGATACTATGTATAGCTTGGGATGGTACCCTGGTGGTCTTCCCAAACAAACAAACAAACAAACTTGTGCTGATAACAGCAGTTTGTCATATTTCTTCCATAAGTAATTTTTTAATATTTTTTTTAGATTTTTATTCATTTCAGATAGGTATACAAAGACAGGGAGTACACAACTCCATGTTAAGGCTGGTTACATATTGACAACAAAGAGTTGCCAAGAGAGAAAATATAGTTACTAGCATACAGAGTCAGGGAGTGCACGACTCCAGCAGCAAACTTCATGGGTTACAGGCATGCTTCCATAAGTAATTAGTCATGGAAATCTTCTCATTGGTGTATTGAGTGTGTGAAAGAATATGTATGTTTCAACACTTTAGGAAGAAAATACTGGATGTGCAAAGGTGTACTGTTATTATTTCCTAAAGCAAGGCAAGGTTAAGGATTGTATGAACAGAATTATCCCGTTTGTGCAGCAAGGTGCTTTAACATTTCTTTTGCTGTTTTTTTTGTTGTGTTTTAAGCTTGAGAAGCAGAGTGAAGCAGCCTGAAAGAGGATGGCCTCACTTGGACCCCATTGCACGAACCCTTGTGAAACTCAACAATGTTGTGATATTGTGATGCTTGTGAATTTGACCAGTTTGTTGGACTGGGTAATATGCCCGCTGTATGTTCTGAGTGAGTGAGTGAGTGAGGTTTTATGCAACAATATTCTAATGTCAGAGGGGGGTCACCAGAAATTGGCTTCACACATTGTACCTATTGAAATCGAACCCAAATCGTCAGTATGGCAAGTGAACGCTCTGACAACAAGGGTACCCCACCCATGTTCTGTAAGTAATCAAGGGGGCGGTGGGGTAGCCTAATGGTTAAAGCGTTGGCTCGTCACGCCGAAGACCCGGGTTCGATTCCCCACATGGGCACAATGTGTGAAGCCCATTTCTGGTGTCCCCCGCCGTGATGTTGCTGGAATATTGCTAAAAGCGGCGTAAAACCAAACTCAGTCAGTCAGTCAGTGTAAGTAATCAAGACAATCTAGTTATTGACATACACATCAGGTTATGCTGTTGGGATACTACTAGGTGCATCAATTAAGTCAATGAGGTGGAACACCTGATCCAGGCAGTCACCTCTTGCAACAAGCATGGCGACAAATTCAAACCGATAACCTCACAAAGGGAGATAAGCATGGGTTGCTGAAGATAAGTTCTAACTCGGATCTTCACAAGATTTTACACTGGTCGCCTGCTCCAGATACAAACTACAGACCATCATTACTGACATTTTTGTTGCATTGTAGGACACCCGAAAGGATGTATTTTGAGGACTTAAACCTCTGGTGTGAGGCCAAGCACCTGGCACACTGCACCACTGGCCTACCCATGTCCACTCCATTTCTGTTCCTGCTTTCATATTTAGAAATTATTGTAACTGAAAGATCCTTTTTGTTCGGCAATAATGAAACAGACGAAATAAAAAACCTACAAAAATAAAATGGTATTTATTTCTAAAACATCACATCACATTTGGCAGTATGGATAACACAGCAATGGCAAGTCCAACATTTTCAAAGGCTGGGGAAACAGTCAAGGTCATTTATAATATTTATTTTGTAATTTTATGATAGCACATAACTGGAAACTCTTCTGTGAATTTCTAAGTGTCTCAAATCTCCATTCTGATGATAAGAAATCCTGCTTCATTTACCACTATTCATTTTGCTCCTGAGCTTGGACATTTCTGAACTCAAGGTCACCATAAATCTACTTGCTATTTCAGTACGGTGATATTGCCATTTCTTTCTATTGTGAAAGACCACTGCAACATATACTGGTATGTAAAGTCAGAATTTCAGGATCCAGTTTCTGGTGACAGGGTGGAGGAGTTCGTGCCACTGTCTCACATAGGTCCTGACTGGGATCAGACAGTTGCATCAGATTTCCTGTAAAATATCAGCAGTTATACTCTCCATACACAAGGAGAACTTGAACAGGCCCTTGACTAGACACTATAGTTTGGCATGAAATGCATGTGGACCCGGTTTGTTGTAAATATCTCTTCATCCAATGACCCAATCGATCTCAAACTGTGCAAGTGGATGTTTTGTCAGACAACCTAATCACATTGTAAATCACCGATTTTATGCATTTGTATTAAAGAATCTGTCTATGTAACTGTCAACAAAATAAACAGCAGAACGCAGAAGGCTTGCAGAGGGAGGGAGCCAATGACCTGTAACAGCGGTAGTGTTGGGTCATAAAGGTAAATGCACGTGCAGTTCATGATAGTTACCTGTGCACTGCACAGTGATAGACCGTTTGGATCATTCACATTGACTACTTCTAGCTGTCATCATGAAAGCTCATTTAGATGATGCTAAACGTTTAATTAGCAATGTGTTTAATTTTTTTTAAAAAGAGAGCAAACGTGGCAAACCGCTTTATAAGGTGTCGGATTACATGAAACATACAACTTTTGCTCTTGGCATGAAAAAGAACATCGTGCTAACAATTGTGAAAAATAAACCAACAAACAATAAACAAAACCTTGTACAAAAAGGTAGGCATCCAAAGTTAGATTCTTTTGACATCAGGGTCATCAGCATAGCTGACCTACATTGACGAACGTTGACCTTTATGACCCAACACTGCCGCTGTTACAGGTCAATGGCTCCCTCCCTCTGCAAGCCTTCTGTTTATTTTGTTGACAGTTACATAGACAGATTCTTTAATACAAATGCATAAAATCGGTGATTTACAATGTGATTAGGTTGTCTGACAAAACATCCACTTGCACAGTTTGAGATCGATTGGGTCATTGGATGAAGAGATATTTACAAAATAACGGGTCCACGTGCATTTCATGCCAAACTATAGTTGACTTTAACACAACTGTATACAATATGTGTGGAAAGTGATGTCGGTGATCAAGTATCCCGAGAATTGTTTGAGTCCACAGATGCAGGAACATGGCTTGACTATTGCTGTATGTTCCTCCTCAGGTATTCTCTGTTGTCTCCCATCGACTGCCATTCATAATATGGCACCTGGGAACAGAAATAAGCACAAACATTATACCGGTACTTCACCAACGCCATATTGCTCAACCAATGCCATATCATTCATAATGCTCCACTGACGCCATATTGCTCAACCAATGCCATATCATTCATAATGCTCCACTGACACCATATTGCTCAACCAATGTCATATCATTCATAATGCTCCACCTACGCCATATTGCTCAACCAATGTCATATCATTCATTACACTCAACCAACGCCATATTGCTCAACCAATGTCATATCATTCATAATGCTCCACCAACGCCATATTGCTCAACCAATGTCATATCATTCATTACACTCAACCAATGCCATATTGCTCAACCAATGCTATATCATTCATAATGCTCCACCTACGCCATATTGCTCAACCAATGTCATATCATTCATAATGCTCCACTGACTCCATATTGCTCAACCAATGCCATATCATTCATTACACTCAACCAACGCCATATTGCTCAACCAATGCCATATCATTCATAATGCTCAACCTACGCCATATTGCTCAACCAATGCCATATCATTCATTACACTCAACCAAACCACATCGCTCAACCAGTTCTGTATCATTACGCTCAGCCAATGCCATGCCGCACAACAGCTACCTACAGCTAAATCACTCCTGACACTCAGACAACACTACATCACTAACGACAACACTACATCACTCACGGCACTCAGCCAACACTATATCACTCATGACACTCAGCCAACACTACATCACTCATGGCACTCAGCCAACACTACATCACTCATGACACTCAGACAACACTACATCACTCCTGACACTCAGCCAACACTACATCACTCATGACAACACTACATCACTCATGACACTCAGCCAACACTACATCACTCATGACACTCAGCCAACACTACATCACTCATGGCACTCAGCCAACACTACATCACTCATGACTCTCAGCCAACACTACATCACTCATGACACTCAGCCAACACTACATCACTCACGGCACTCAGCCAAAACTACATCACTCATGACACTCAGACAACACTACATCACTCATCACGCTCAGCCAACACTACATCACTCATGACACTCAGCCAACACTACATCACTCATTACACTCATTACAACACTACATCACTCATGACACTCAGCCAACACTACATCACTCATGACACTCAGGCAACACTACATCACTCATGACACTCAGACAACACTAAATCACTCATGACACTCAGCCAACACTACATCACTCATGACACTCAGCCAACACTACATCACTCATGACTCAGCCAACTACATCACTCATTACAAACACATATACTCAGTACAACACTACATCACTCATGACACTCAGCCAAAACTACATCACTCATGACACTCAGCCAACACTACATCACTCATGACAACACTACATCACTCATGACGCTCAGCCAACACTACATCACTCCTGACACTCAGACAACACTACATCACTCATGACACTCAGCCAACACTACATCACTCATGACACTCAGACAACACTACATCACTCATGACACTCAGCCAACACTACATCATTCATGACACTCAGACAACACTACATCACTCATGACACTCAGCCAACACTACATCACTCATGACAACACTACATCACTCATTACAACACTACATCACTCATGACACTCAGCCAACAACTACATCACTCATGACACTCAGACAACACTACATCACTCATCACACTCAGCCAACACTACATCACTCATGACACTCATCACTCATTACAACACTGCATCACTCATGACAGCCAACACTACATCACTCATGACACTCAGCCAACACTACATCACTCACACTCAGCCAACACTACATCTCATGCCAACACTACATCACTCAGCCTCATGACACTCAGCCAACACTACATCACTCATGACACTCAGACCACTAACACTCACTGCATCATCTCACTGACACTCAGCACAGACAACACTTCATCACTCATCACTCATTACACTCAGCCAACACACTACATCACTCATGACTGACAACACTACATCACTCATGACTCAGACAATCACTACATCACTCACCTCATGACACTCAGCCAAAACTACATCACTCATGACGCTCAGCCAACACTACATCACTCACAACACTACATCACTCATGACACTCAGACAACACTACATCACTCATGACACTCAGACATACACACTACATCACTCATGACACTCAGCCAACACTACATCCACTCATGACACTCAGCATCATCTCATGACACTCAGCCAACACTACATCACTCATGACAACTACATCACTCATCACTCATTACAACACTACATCACTCATGACAGCCAACTACATCACTCATGACAGACAACACTACATCACTCATGACACTCAGCTAACACTGTCACTCACATCACTCATGACATCAGACAACACTACATCACTCAGCCAACACTACATCACTCATGACACTGACAATGCTCAGCCAACACTACACTACATCACATCATCGCCATGACAGCCAGCACTACATCACTCACACTAGCATCACTCATGACACTCAGACAACACTACATCACTCATGACACTCAGACAACGCTAGGACTGCCTCCGCCAACACACTAGTGGTTAGAGTGTCAGCCAACACTACATCACAGAAGGTCAGCCAACACTCACGATCCCCATGACACTCAGCCATACCAAAAGACGTTAAAATCATGGTAGCTTGTTGGTCCCTGCCTGGCTCGGCATTAATGGGTACAACAACACTGGTCGGCTCGAGTCAGTATACATGTGTCTGGACTGGGGTATTCATGCTTCACTACATCACTCATATCTCAGTGGGCTACATCACTATAAAACCAGCTTCAGTCTGGGCTAGTACAAGCAGCCTGAGCCAACACATCATCGCTGACACACATACACAGCCAACGCATCATGCACGTGCCAACATATGAGCTGACACTCAGACAACGCTACATTTAAAGGGCAAGTGTACCACGAAAATTAACCTTTTGTCTTGCACTTTTTCTTCATAAAAGTGTTTATCAAATCGTTTTATATCCAAACCCGTACATATATCATAAGTAACTAATTTATTATTTATGCGTTATATCAATTCATATTTTCAACATTAACCAAGAGTTCTATGTCCACAATAAACACACCATGGCTTATGTCCCTTGGAAATGGCGTCATTGGTGCCCAAATGATAAGCGAATGGCGTCGTCAGACCTTATTAGACCCATTTCCGTGGTGCAGGTATAGGTGTGGTTCTTGTGTCTCGATCGCAGGCTACTGTTTTAATCCACCTGTTGCCTGGCCGTCAGCTGGCATGTGGTCAGTTCTACACTGTAATGGCGTTGCAGTTTGAAAAAGCGTATACATTGTACTAAATGTGTTACCACGTAACCTAATTGTATAACATATTCAACCTGAGTCGGTAAGCCTTTCCAACAGTATCTCTTTTCATGAAACCTAAAAGCGTATATGAACTATATCTTGCTTGCCATCGTTGAATGTGCGGCATTCTACGTTTGTTACTAAAGTTCTTACATAAATCGTGCGATATGTCACTCCTCTTCCACCTAATTCACTTTGATATCGATGAGTACATATCCAAATACATCACGCAGATAAATGCAATGTGCAGTTTTGAACACTATTTGAAATTCGTTTTCTATGATATCATCCGCTCATTGTAGATAAAATTTACTGAAAATTACATGCACCGTAAATCTCGCCAGTTTTGACACATTACTAAATCACCATTCACTGCGTTTTCGCGTAATTTATGGTATGTCTTAATTCAAATGTCAAATTTTACTGGGACGATTGAATTTAAAAGAAAAGAGCGTGATCATTGTGATCAGCGTTATGTTTGTTGTTGTATGATCGAATCACCAATGCTCGTTCTGAAACATTATCAATGAACCCGAGAATCGCTGAGAACGTTTTGGAAATCGCATAAGCGTCAAAGTGAATTTTCAGTCATATTACATAGTGTTTATAAAATCCGTCACATGTATGTCGGTTATGTTTAGATCCCATAAAATTCAACACCATCTTCCTTACATGATACCCTGAAATTCCTCATACAGTCAAAATAAACTGACAAATGGACACATCACCGATCTGAAGTGTTTCAGTGAAATCTAGCGAAATATATCGAGGATATGAGATGCGCTGTGAAAGAATACTTGTTTGAAATGTATACAAAGCCAATCTCAGATGTGACACTGTGTATCCGTTAAGCCTACTTGTTGCATACAATTGCTCATTAGTTTTAGAACATGCATGGGAAAGGTATCGTAGCAAGCGATAGTTAAATAAAACAGGTGTATTCAATGATTTTCTAGATTCATCACAACATATTATAGTTTTTTGAAGCATGGCGCCATAACTGGCGCAAACTCCGCTGCTTGATGGCGGTACTTCTCTTAATTTCTGACTATTTCCCTTGGTCACAATGAAAACAAAAGAAAATAACAACCAGCAGACTGGCAGAGGTTTTGGACTACTTTCATGTCGCATTTATGCATATATGTTGCTTGAAACAACGAAAATTTCCTTCGAAAACTCCGGTACTTTCGTGTCAGTGAACCGCGCCATTTTGAAAAAGTCGCTTCCGATAGTGATGTCATCACGGACGTCAACATTGTTATACATATTTGGTATTTTCATTGGGCGAGGTTATGAATGAAAATACACCGCGATCAATCCGTCATGCTGCTTACATTTTCTGTTCTTATGCTTCTTCGTATTTTCACAAAATTTTTTTTTCAAGTGATTAATATCAGTATTATTATCTTTGGATTTTGGACTAGACAGGAGACCAGTTTAAAATCAAGTGGCACCAATTACGTCATAATCAAAGGGCGGTAACTCTGGCCTGTTTACCTCGGCAAACAAATACCTCATATTGGCATAACATTTCAGCACTTATTTTGAGGGTTATACTTATATTGTAAGAAAAATAAGTGTATATTTTCAAACATTGGTATTAACTAATTAAAACAGTTCACTTTGATTCACATAAGAATAAATGTGATTTATTAGTGTACACTTCCCCTTTAACCCCACATGGGTACAATGTGAAGCCCATTTCTGGTGTCCCCTGATGTGATATTGTTGGAATATTGCTAAAGCGGCATAAAACTAAACTCAATCAATCAAATGAGAGGGTACAACTAACACTAGCGTAAGTAAACCACAGTTTTATGAACTACAGTCAAATCCCAATGAGTCGAATGCCGTGTCTCTGAATATTATGCATAACTCGGCAGTACCTGTCGGTCCCAACCATTCCCTGTTATAGTTGTCATCATTTGATTTCGGTTACATGAATTCGCCTTCATAAATACACACACACGCGATGACCTCGAGAAGGAAATTTGGTCCCATGAGATTCAAACAACAGCAATCTTGTATACATAAGCCGTAAGTCAGTCAATGAGACGCTGATTGGTGTAGCAAACTGATCCAATTAACAAACCAGCTGCTCACACCTTTCCGCCATTGACGAAAAGGAGTTCAAAAGGCAGATTAGTGGATTTTACGGAAATCCCTGTCTGTGCTAATCAGGACTGGAACTGATAAGGTGCCCCTATTAGTGATAGGGAAATCATTAGGTAAACAAATGCTTAGGTGGAGGAATTAGGAATGGATCATCTTTTTTTTCCTACCCTCATAGACATACCTATGTCTCGAATACATCGATAAGTCGAATTCTATTACTTGGTCCCCAGCCGCATTCGACTCCATCGGATTTGACTGTACTTGGTGCTACAGAATTAAATAAGAAATGAAGTAGGGTGTCGCGATACGAATGTATTGATGCATCGATACATTTTACTGACGATACGATACGCCGATACATGCTTATGTATTGATTCCTTTTAAAACTTTATCGATTCAAATTTTTATGCTATATCCATCTCCTTCCAAAGTCTTGATAGTAAAATTATACTAGACCGCCTCCGATAAATAGATGTAGCTAGCTTTACTTAAAAAATAGGTTGGAAACTAACATCTTTTGTGATTGGCTAGGACTATTTTGATGGACCAATCAGCGAGATGACACTCAGACAACACTACATCACTCATGACACTCAGCCAACACTACATCACTCATGACACTCAGCCAACACTACATCACTCATGACACTCAGACAACACTACATCACTCATGACACTCAGCCAACACTACATCACTCATGACACTCAGCCAACACTACATCACTCATGACGCTCAGCCAACACTACATCACTCATGACATGACTACTCAGCCAACACTACATCACTCATGACACTCAGCCAAACTACATCACTCATCGGCTCACCAACTGCTACTCGCTGACATGACGCCTCAGCCAACACTACATCACTCATGACACTCAGCCAACACTACATCACTCATGACGCTCAGACAACACTACATCACTCATGACACTCAGACAACACTACATCACTCATGACACTCAGCCAACACTACATCACTCATGACACTCAGCCAACACTACATCACTCATGACGCTCAGCCAACACTACATCACTCATGACACTTTCAGCAACACTACATCACTCACGGCACTGATCACTCACACACAGCCAGCACTACATCACTCATGGCGCCAGACAACACTGATCACTTCCTGACACTCAGCCAACATCACTCATGACATGACAACACTACATCACTCATGACAACACTACATCACTCATGATGCTCTCAGCCAACACTATCGGTCATGGCAGCCAACACTACATCACTCATGGCACTCAGCCAACACTACATCACTCATGACACTCAGCCAACACTACATCACTCATGACACTCCAGACAACTACATCACTCATGACGCTCAGCCAACACTACATCACTCATGACGCTCAGCCAACACTACATCACTCATGACGCTCAGCCAACACTACATCACTCATGACACTCAGACAACACTACATCACTCATGACAACACTACATCACTCATGACGCTCAGCCAACACTACATCACTCATGACACTCAGCCAACACTACATCACTCATGACAACACTACATCACTCATGACAGCCAACACTACATCACTCATGACAACTCAGACGCCAACACTACATCACTCATGACGCCAGCCAACACTACATCACTCATGACACTCAGCCAACACTACATCACTCATGACACTCAGACAACACTACATCACTCATGACACTCAGCCAACACTACATCACTCATGACACTCAGACAACACTACATCACTCATGACACTCAGCCAACACTACATCACTCATGACGCTTAGACAGACCAACACTACATCACTCAGACACTCTACATCATGGCACTCTCACATCACTCATCACTCATGACACTCAGACAACACTACATCACTCATGACACTCAGACAACACTACATCACTCATGACACTCAGACAACACTACATCATCATGTCATCACTCATGACACTCCAGACAGACACTACATCACTCATGACACTCAGCACTCAGCCAACACTACATCACTCATGACACTCAGACAACACTACATCACTCATGACACTCAGCCAACACTACATCACTCATTAACCTCAAACAATGCCACATTATTCAAAGAAAGGTTTCTGCTGTTAACCACTATGTCTGCATAACACTGGCTAACTTTTACATGGCTTGGTTGGTCAACTTATTATTTAATCAGATCATGCATTCTGTTAGGTGATAAGGTACAAGGGTGGTGGGGTAGCCTAGTGGTTAAAGCATTGCTCGTCACGACGAAAAGCAGCGTAAACCTAAACTCAATCAATCAAACGAGAGGGTACAACTAACACTAGTGTAAGTAACCAACAGTTTTATGAACTACTTGGTGCTACAGAATTAAATATGAAATGAAGCTTGGATCTCATGTTGCCGGGCAATATTGCAAGGCATTGTTTCACCCTATACACCACATACATACTGGAATAACTTTGTAGCCAAGGATTTCAAGATGGCGTTGTTTGCTGATCTTGTCGTGGCCCAAAGTGTAGCTGTTCAGGGGATAGCTGTCCTTCCCATACCACAGAATAGCCACCCTGAAGTCAGACGACATTATTATTTACAACAACCTTGACAGTGATAAACATATATATTAGATGCTACTGACCAAATTTCATTCTTTGTTTTGAAAGAAGAGCCAGTTGTACTTATGAGTTAAACACACCATATTCCTAATGTATAGCTGGATCACCTGGTTGAATTTGGGCCTGAATGCATTAAATTGGTATGACACACATGTCTCACAAAGAAACAGTTCTAAATTTCAACCACACTGATGTCCCCAAAACTTGAAGTATATGTACACTCTTTAGGTTGATTTTAAGTTTTACTGCCAACATCTACTGCCCTACATACATTGAATGTTCCATTAACTGGAAGTCTACATTTTGTATAAATTTCCTTTTTAATTTATATTTCTTTTATAATTTAAAACACAGATTCAAGTCAAAGTCTAACTAAAACAACAATGCAAATTAAGTGCAGAAAATATGGTGTTGATGCCATTCAAGGGGGATAACTCTAATACTGTTTCTCTGATGAAACGTACCTATCATGATGAAAAGAAATGATATTTCACCTGAACCATTAAGAATTCGAATTATTTAATATATATACTTTGTGATTTAATTATGGAAAATACACAAACTACTCCTTAGGGACTGAAATCAATCCAGTAATTCTGCAAGGAATTTGGTAAATAATTCATTCCTATTTTAAATAATGGATGACTTCCTACACTAAACTCTAGTCTCAACAGACTTCATGTGACTTTTGATATGTTGTTCTGTATACCTCTGATATTCTCGGTCTTCATCGTCTTCCGGAGATATGTGCTTCACAGGTAGACCACTGGCATCCAGCAACACCTCAAAATCTAAATTGCAAAAACTGGCATATTATGTGATGTGTAAACATAATAACTGTCACATTGAGGGAGGGAATGTTTTCACTACTGTGGAGCGTAAGCACTGTTCTTGAAGTAGAACAGGTAAACCCAAAATGGGCATCACACTGCACTGCACACAGCAGTCATGTGTAGAATCGAACATGAAAGTTCAGTGTGATGAGCGAACACTTTAATAATTTGGCCACATGTGACATCCAAGCTTTGAAATTACATATCAAATCACCTGTATTCAACCTGGGATGTAAACTTAGCATAATACAATTAAAGACATCTTGTCTTGAGTTTTATGAACTGCACTGCAGTGATACAAATAAACACTTCAAGCATAATGCCATGGTTACTAGGGGTGTAACGATCCATCGAACCATCGATGGATTGCAATTGTTGAGTCTCCGACAGCAATTAATCGATAATAGAAACGAAATCTATTGATGCATCGATAGTATGTGTGACTATCGATAGTTTAGTAATTGACTTCCGTTGATAACTGCGCAGCACAAAATACAGGAAGTACCAGATTCGTTCACTTTGATTTAGAGTTATCCGGCCCTATTACCTCTCAAACAAACTTGATCTGGGTTTGAAGTTTCAAGTCAGTTATCAAAAGAGACTGAGATTACTTCAACTTGTTAGTATTTCAATTAAACTATACATTCCTTTGGGAAATGACTTCAAATGAGACAATTCAAGGAGAAAATAACTATTGCAATAGTTGGTCGCAATAGTAACTTGCAATAGACTATCGCTATCGCAATAGTTGTTTCTCCCTCAATAGTCACCCCTAATGGTTACGCAGGATCAAGGCTGACCATGCACTATAATGAAATCAATTAATTGATCACAGTGAACCATGTCTCCACATATTACATTAAATGGACTAGAAACACCATGTATGCCCAGTGCACAGCCGTACACCACCCAAGCGAGGTATAAATCTTTGCGAGGGAAAATATATCATTTGTACCCCCGCACCAGAGATAAAGCATGCATCCCTAGCAGGGAGTGAACCATGAACCTGTGGTTTGGATCTACTAGTCAGTACCATGTTAGTAAAATATATGCTTGAATTTCAGTTTGTTTTAAAGTTATATTTACAAAATGAGAGATTTAAACATTCGGTAAGATAAATTTGTTGTAGCATTGTGACAAGGGGTATACAGGGTTTTATGCATCTCTCGTTAGGTTTATAAACCTAACACAGGACACACAAGTGTAGAAGTGAGCAAAGCTCACATACCCCCGCTTCCCACTTTGGGACATGGAAATGACTGATATTGATATATATAATGTGACAAGGATCAGCAGCTCACAAGACTTTCTCTTTGACTCTACTAAACTTTATATAAATGTTAGATAATAGTTCTGGCATGTACTGATTACGGTAATAATTTATGGAAACTAGGTTTTTTTTGTGTTTTCCGTGGAAACCTGACATGTAATTGAACTTGACTGTCTCATGTTACACACAATGGACGTAGATGAAGATTGCTATTTTTTAGCACATGGCATATCTGTGGGTCATGATTAACTTGTGTATTAAGTTTGGTGAACCTAGCATGTATAGTTGCGATGATATGCCGTGGTCAGGTCACCATCAAATACATTTTGCATGTACCTAGCATGAACCTAGCATGTAAACTTTAAGAGATATGCTCTGGACAAAATAATCAAACACATTTGGCACTAAGTCATGTTTCCATGGAAACAGCAAAAATACAATTCATATCTGGATCTACCCCCAAAATCTAGGATCGTTGCTTGATATGTGTACCAAGTTTGATGAAGCTAGCATGTATAGTTTGGAACATCTGCTCGACAAGATGACATCCTCATAGTCACAGCCTAAATTAGTGTTTCCATGGAAACAGCAAAAAACTAAATTCTGAAAAACTTTAAAATAGCAAAAGGCACATCAATGGGTAATGATTAACATGTGTGTAGGAGGCTGTTTGGTGAACCTAGCATGTAAACTTTAAGAGATATGCTCAGTGTGGACAAAATAATCAACATATTTGGCACTAAGTCATGTTTCGTGGGTATGGAAACAGCAAAAATACAATTCATATCTGGATCTACATCTAGGGATCATGCTTGATATGTGTACCAAGTTTGATGAAGCTAGCATGTATAGTTTGGAAGATCTGTCTCGACAAGATGACATCCTCATAGTCACAGCCTAAGTCTGGTTTCCATGGAAACAGCAAAAACTAAATTCTGAAAAAACTTTAAAATAGCAAAAGGCACATCAATGGGTAATGATTACTATGTTCGTGAAGTTTGGTGAACCTAGCATGTAAACTTTAAGAGATATGCTCCGGACAAAGTTTTGGGACGGACGGACCGTGTGTGAACGCTATATACCCCCTTTACTTCAGTGCGCGGGGTATAATAAAACCCTCATACCCCTCATGACAATGCTACAACATATAGTAACTACAGTGTCTATGCACTGCACTGATACCCCCTAAAGAAAACATACAAGCAAAATAGAATGCTTACACTAAAACCAAATTGGTTTACTAGATTGAAACGTAAAAGTGTTTTTGTGTAATGGAGTCCATACCGAGACAGTGATGGTAGGGTGTGTAAACCTTGGTCTGGTAGTACTCTCTGCCTCCTACGGCACCCTTAACCAGCGACTCCAGTTTCCGTGGATACCGGTTGTAGTCTACAACAATTACATACATCAACATGATTAACAGTGACAGGCAGTATTCATCATTTCATGAATTCATTATCTGCTGTCTTCATATTCCCAGGGCATAGAAATGTTAAAAGACAGTTTTTCTAAACACAACAGATACATCAAAAGATAGCTGTTTCAGATGACAGGTATCAATCCCATAAAAGTCCAAGGTTACACCTGGTCGGGTAAGCTACATGACTATTAATGATTACTGACTCGGATAAAAACAGACTTGCCTACCCCCTTTTAAAGAAAATAGTAAGGTCAGCTAAAAAAAATAGTAAGGCAGGTGCATTTGCTAGTAAGGCATGTTAATGTCAAGAAATAAAGGAAAAACATAGATGGTTAAAATCTTAATATAGCGTTTAATAGTCAAAAAGTCAAATGTGGTGCCGATCTAATTGACGTTTTTTTAAAGTCTTTCACTTTGAAATAAACTTTACCAGCACTGTAAGATGCAAAGATTATTTATTTATGATGTTTTTGATGCGACTCCTGTTTTCGGTACTTTATGTACCGTAAATGACTCCGTAAATAGCATGGGCATGTCTATATCTAGTATTCTACCACTTATTTGTAGAAGTCGTAAGGAATTTCAGTATGATTGTAAGGTCGTAATTTAGCACCAAAAATAGTAAGCCTTACGCCAAAATCGTAAGGATAGGCAAGTCTGTAACAACCCTCAACTGAACCTCATTTCCAATCATTACTTGCCCATCCAGCCACAAGATCACATACTTAAACAGACACAGACAGACACGACACTAATTCAAATGTTTGGCAATTCCTTTTTACTACTTAACCTTTGACAGGAATGACCAGAATTATCATCATATTAATATATACACTTGACATGTTATGTGAAACATCAAAATATTACATGAAAAGACATCAAGTATATTATGCACAGCGACCAACATGGTCAGGATATAACCAGAGCTCCAGATAAGATTTAGCTCATGTGGGTACTGTACCCACTGTATTTTTTTGGAGTGGGTATTATTAATGTTGAGTGGGTATTTCATTTTCCGATACCCACTGCTTTCAACGTGCGTTATTTCAGTCATTTTACTCACCTATGTGTTATGTGACTGAGTAAGTTTACTTAGCCGGTATGTTCTGCCTTATGACTATGTCATACCTAATCAAAACCAACTTAAATATAATGGAAATGAGTTCATAAAAAATCACTCATCCTAAATGGACAGTACAGCACTTGTCCTATACTAACAGTACAACTTGATAGCAATCGATGTCTTTTTTATTACGCAAGCGATTTTTAGAAATATATTCCGTACGCATTTGTTATAAACTCTTTGCGTATCTAACATTTTATATGCGTAATTGGTACGCAACAATTATTTTTCAATGCGTAGTTGGAAATTTTATATGCCTATTTTTACCGAATGCGCAGCAGCTTATCTGGGCCTCTGTATAACTATGTGTTTGTTGACCATTAAGTCATTCAATAAAAGTTCCTTGTACATAGCTACTCACGGCTTTCATACTGGATGTAGAAGTCCTTGTGGAACCACGGGATGTCCAACTGAGGGCAGTCAATCACCATGTGTCGGTTCAGAAGCATCATCGGCAATTCCAGAGATTTTTTGGCACCTAATGGTCAGAGAAAGTGATGGGGAACTTAGTTTGAGCAAATTTGAAAATTTTACTATAAATTGTATATTTATATACTTATCTCATGCGATGGATACCGTGAGATAGGATAAGTTTAAAAATTTGAAAATTTTACTATAAATTTTATATTTATATACTTATCTCATGCGATGGATACCGTGAGATAGGATAAGTTTAAAAATTTGAAAATTTTACTATAAATTGTATATTTATATACTTATCTCACGCGATGGATACCGTGAGATAGGATAAGTTTAAAAATAACATTATTATTGTCACAATATCCAGACCTGCTACAATACGGTCCAATCATTGGAACCAGAACACCGTGTTCCGTAATGAGACCATCATAAAAAGTATCTCCACGAGAAAACTCTGGCTGATCTGTGGATTTAACATCAGGGAGAATATTCAGGATGTTCGGCATGATATTTTCAGAGATTGAATAAGCCTGCCTTCATCATGTACTTTAAATCATGAAACTAATGCATGACACAGTTAATTCAAGCATCAATCCCTTGTCAAAAATGCATTATAACATCAATCCCTTGTCAAAAATGCATTATAACAACGAGAGTGTCCCTGCCTTTGAACTATAAAAAGTATCCAACAAACAAAAATACCCAAACAGTAGACTTTGAAGAACTCTTTTGCAATTGCCCTATGTTAGTTTGTTGCTGAATGCCGAACTCAGCGATATTCCACCTATATGACAGCGGTCTGTAAATAATTGAGTCTAGACAATCCCGTGATTAACATCATGAACATCAATCTACGCAGTTGTGATATGATGACATGCAGCATCAACCAAGCCAGCGTGTCTGACCACCCAACCACGTTAGTCACTTCTAACGAAAAGCATGGGTTGCTGGAGACCAATACTAACCCAGATCATCATGGTTTGCAAGTGCCCTATGACACACATGCAAAAATCTGTTTCTGTCCCTGACCTGGCCAGCCATGGGAGACTATCCACAGTCTACCTGTGATTTGTAAGTTGAGATGGTCCATTATAATTATTACCGTAAACCTGTGTTAAATGATTTCTAGGAATTGTAATCAACAATTACATGGGAAAAGATTGATGTCAATCATATGTCCAAAATAGGTGGATGTCATTGTTAGTATAACCATGGTAACCTGAGATCCTGAGATGCTTGACGTCTGCTCTATTAGTGTTTGAATCTAAGGACCCCTAAATCATTAAATCTTAACATGAAAGCTATAACAAGACCCTGTGCTTACTCTTGTACACTGGTAACACTAACCTTCTCGCATCTTGTCAAACATGTGCAGATAGTCCAGACTGAACATTTGGCAGAGCTGCATCTCAGGGTAGATCTGGAATCGACAGAGGTTCAGGGCAAGAGAGGCCTGAACATGGACATCATTCTTCCGGAGAGCGGTATCCATCATCTCAGAGCACACTCCACTGAAGGCCTCCATGTTCTTGGGATTATACCCGACTAAAACAAACCATTCTAGAATCCTGCTTGCAATACTTGGGCTAATCTTCCACCCATAGTCTAGAAAATACATTTCTAAATTCTCCGACACCTGAGGATCACAATACCGAATGTGTTCCAGGGTGTCGAGAAGAGGAGACACTTGGGATGAGGTCAAGTATTTTGTCACCTGCCCCAGGTGAGGCATCAGTACCTGGAGGGGTGTCATATCTTTGCTGGAGCTGTCAAGGTACAATCCCTGGATGATTCGGTTGATCATATCAAACTCCCTCACAGTCTCTAACTTTTCCGACAATTGTTTCTGAAGGCTGAGGTGAAGTTGCAGAACAAGGTTTGGATTTTGTTTCACAAATTGTTGATTTTTTATCCGGATCATTATAGAGCATATCTGCTCTGGATGTAGCCAAGACATATTGGCTCGTAAATTTTTTACAAACTTTTCTGGCAGTTCATCCCTGAGATTTGACAGGATTATGAGAGTGCTGGAATACATTAGTGATCGTCTAAAGAGAGCTCCATCTCCCTGGAGCTGAATGAGTTTCTCCACAAGCTCAGTTCGAATGGTTTCATTTTCAGCTTCCCTTCTTACTAGGAGTCTGAGAACTTTAAGAAATCTCGCCTTGAAAGTAGCTAGATTGTCAAACAGATGTAAAGTTTGTTTTTTGAAATGCCATCATCACATTCTTGTCATCTATCTCTGCGTAAAGGAATATTTCGGCTAGAGAGGAGAGAGCATAGACATCCGCATCTTTCATTTTACTCAGAAGCAGGGGATAGATGCGGGTTTTCACTCGATGAGGTGTTTGAGCAGTGAAGGACTGACACACCTGTACGATATCCCTGATTTCTATTGTGGCTGATGATAATTCAAAGAGGTCCATGCTTCTTTTCTGCAAATCGATTGCTATTGCTCCGTCAAACCTATGAACTAATTTTAAACATCTACAGCATGAAGCAACATCCCCCTGAGTCAAGTCTGTCAATATGATATGGAAGCTGACACACCACATAGTCCACCAATTGATATATCGTCTTCTTGGGTATGGAATGCATTAGGAATAGACGCTTCACATATCTCAGAAGATGTCCTAAAATGTCAGAGTTGGAGACACTTGGCAACTTTTGAAGCATATCGACAACACTAAATAGCAGTCTGCTGGACAGTTGCGAGTTCAACCATGGAGTCTGCGAGATGTGGAACAGACACATATTCCTCACTAGCTCTTCATCAACTGTTTCAAAGCCTTCATCTAGCAGCTCCTGTATTCTCGACATCATCTGTTTAAGTATTTCCTCATCTACATCATTCGCACTCCTCAGACTAGCAGCGAGTGTGGCGAGACTTTTAATGTCCATGCGTCCTATCCTGGTTTGAATCCTATCAAGAAGCTTGCTCACAATCTCGTTTTTCTCCATGCCCAAATACTTTAGATGCAACAGCAAACTCAGGCAGTCCTCATGGGGAATCTCACATGATCGTACAGTTAACTCTCTTAGAAACTCTTGCATGGTCATATGATCAACCACAGGACCGAGGAATGTTTTCACTTCCTTATTTAAAATCATCTGCATCAGTGTTACATCAGGTGAGTTGAAATAAAGCCAGGGTACACTATACAGCTCCCTGTATCTGGCTTTTTGTATGGCTGCAACAATATTGGAGAAGTCCTTCCCAGTAAGTCTACCTGCTTTCAGTTCTCTTTGAATATAATGAAAGATTCTTTCTATTCCAAAATTAGCATCAGGCGTTACTGCATCAGTTGTAGTTTCCTGAAAAACAGAATGTTTTCGAAACATGGACACATGGCTAGCTTTCACCCTATGCCTTTTTTGTAGTGTCCATACATGTTTAGTTTGAACGATGTTGGTTCCAAAGGGAGATAATTCTCTTGCAATGTTAATGTGACACTGTGACGGTCTGTATCTTCTACATATCCCAAACAGAGCTTGCATGTCGGGACACTGATAAAGGTGTGTGTCACTTGCAGTTCATGTTGCTGGAGTAGAGGACTTTACTGTTCAGCCAGCAGTGGGGCTAGCTTTTCAGAAGTGAGTAATCCTTTGGGTTGGGGTGCAGTGCCCTTGTTGATAACTCTGCATCAATGCCTCTGATCATACAGAGGCTCTTACATACTCCTGCCCAACATCCTTATAGTTTACCTGCAATATTAAATAAGACAGTTGCCACTTTAAATATTCACTTGCAGAACAAATGCTGAAGGTGAGTGAAATGGGGCTTAACGTCGTACTTAAGAATATTTCACTCATATGACTGACTGACTGGCTGAGTTTGGTTTTACGCCGCTTTTAGCAATATTCCAGCAATATCACGGCGGGGGACACCAGAAATGGGCTTCACTCACTGTACCCATGTGGCACTCATATGACAATGTGCAGGCATGTGTATGTGTGGCTGCTTGTACTAGCCCAGACTGAAGCTGATTTTATAGTGCTAGCTCACTGAGATACCATGCCACAGTTAAGCATGAATACCCTACTCAGACACATTATACTGACTCCGAGCCAACCAGTCCTTGTTGTACCCATTAATGCCGAGTGCCAGGCAGGGACCAACAAGTACCATATTTCAACGTCTTTTGGTATGACGCAGCCAGGGATCGAACCCGTGACCTTCCGCTCTGTGGACATGCTGGAGGAACATGATAAATAATGAGTAAGTAAGTGAAGCTGAAGGGATCGTTGTTGGCACAGGTACTACAGATACTGAAACATACCCTAAACACAGTCAAAATACAGAAATGTACCCGGTACCCTAAACGTCAGATGAGCCCTTATTCCACAACCCAAAACCTTATGCAGCTTCCCATTCAACTGATTGCGAGTAGTGTTATTCAACACGAAATATTCTGTACTGTGTATATATGCTCGTTTCTGATATAATGCAATCAAATAAATTTAATACAACAGTATGACAGTTCCGGTCAAGAAAAATGGCACAAAGCAGAATGGACTCATCCTAGGTAATATTTCTGTATTTTAAGTTTGGTCTAGGGTACGTTTCTGAATGACTTCAGATGACTGGGCCAATGCAGGCAAACAATAAAAACACAAAATGATCGTCTGTAATAATTTCTTCTATATTTCCTTTGAAGTTGCAATATTTACCACGTTTTTGTTGCATCATTCTCAGTTTGTTTTTTTAACAGACAGGTTTCCATACCAGCAGTCATGGCACTCTGCATGAAAGAGGCTTGACTGAGATAGTGAGACGCACACAAGGAATAGATTAGATACATACTGTCTCAAGTTTCTGCCCATGTGGAGAACAGAACCTAGATCTTCAGACTGGCTTTACCACTGGGTGACTCAATGCTCCTCAGCTCATTAGATCTAATCTGAGACCGGGAACAGATTTCATGGTAACCACGGCTACACCGATTTCAATAAGTTACGTAAGTACGCGATACCTAAGCCTCACAGGGACGTGACAATCGACACACGTGATGGTGTTTATTGAATGTGATTAGTTTATCGAGTGTTAAAGAGAGCTTCGAAGGGAGACAATTTGAAATATTTCTCGCGTGTACTGCAACCAATATCACCATTGCATGGACAAAGTATCGCCTTAATGGATAATGACAGCCATCATAATTACTTCTTTTTCATATAAACAAGACAAAAATGCAATGTTTACTTTTTCGGTGTTCATGATCATTTCTCATGATAACTGCACTTTATGGTAGAAATCCGCGCGAGTGTTGTTCAGGTGTAATAATACTCGATAAAATCGCTGTCCGCACGCTTGTCGTAAGAGGCTCTAACCCGCGCGTGCTACCACCATCCCTTTTCTTAAAGTCGTTTATCATCGCAAACACTGTTCGGAGCATCCATGCTTCGCAAAGTATTTCAGAGTGACGTCCCTTTGAAACATGGCGACGTCCTTGGTGTCACTCGTGCGATGTAATGCCGTTAAGTTACTTGCAAACAGGGCATGCATTACTTACCAAACTGTACGATTCCGTCGTGCAAAGAGGGTCTGGGGAACAAGTTACGAAAAGGCAAGAAGTTACGAGGAAAGGATTGCAGGTAATGCAGCTGTGCGTTTGAAATCATACACTCAAGATGTTCGACTGTGTTGGAAAATCATAACAAAATTATAATACCTCCAAATTTGGTTTGAAACCAAACGCCTAGTGTTCGACATGACCTTTGACTCAAAACCCCCACTGCGGGTCAGAAAATTGATAAACTAGGCCCCGGTTTAGTATCCACACACCATATAACATGTTATATAAGTAGGGGGTGTGGATACTAAACAGGGGCCTATTTTATCGATTTTCAGACCCGCAGTGGGGCCCTATGCCCATTTCTGCTGTGCCAGCCATTATTCAGCTAAAAGCCGTGCGAAACTCAACTTGCTCTCTACTGATCAAGCATTCTTATATGTATCACACAGTCAGGCATTTTAATTTGTGACATTGTCATGCCAGTTATTCATTGCCCGTGGCTGCAATAACAACGTCATTGCATTTATGTGGTGTTAATTTTCTCAATATTATCATGTTATATTGCCATTTTAAAAACAATATCATTAAGAAACACAATACCTATTGTTTCAGAGCTGAAAAGTCAAGAACCGATCTTGAACCAAGGCATAAACATTGGGTTTCCCCTTAGAACAGCCAGTTTCAACCCTGACCAACTTCACAAGGACTGGCTGAAGAAGAGACAAGGAAAAGAACAGCAAGCTCGGAAAAGGGATTGTACGAATCAGTATTTGCAGTTCACCTGACTGAAAGTCACATGGGCTTATGTGTGGACATGTTTTTCATGGGTCATTAGCCTTTAATCCTTTAATATTTTGAACAGCACCTCTGAAACTATAAAACCTGTTTAGCTGAAACTAAGTATGAATTATCCCAGCTATGGTGTCTTGAAAATTTGATCATTTAATCAATTATTGTTATGTTTATGCCACATACAAAAAATACTTATTTCAGAGGAACGTGATGGTCAATAGGGTTTCTCTCTACTAATTGGGGGTGCAGTTGACCCAGTCAATGCTGTCACAATTCGTTGGGCAAGCCAGAAAGATGTGTCTTGGTTTGACTGTTACACACTTGTGCTCATGGGTTTCTCCGAAGTAGCTAATGACTTCTATCACTTACGGCTTTTCCAAGTTTCCATGAAGTTTACTAACATGGTATAACTGGAATATGTTAAAAGAGGTTTTAAACCCAACTCCGTCAATCACTGACTGTGTCAACTAATTTTTAAATCCTATATCCATGATATTGGTTAGGAAAACCCCATGAAGAGTTGATTATATTCTGTTACAGTAATTATCTCCCTGGAGGATGTTAAAGCAAAATGGCAGGAAGAACAGGGCAGCAGACATGTCCACCAGATAGCGAAACACTACGGCATTTACCAGGACATGTTTGACCATGCTTTCTTCTACCCAGCAACAGACCTCGACATCAGTTACGACTACGATGAGGACTTTGTCACAATGGTCTGCACAGGAAACAGGATATCACCAGCAGATGTAAGATATCCGTTAAAAATCCATTATTTCATAAAATCATTCTCATGCCATATGTGCATTGTAACCTTTATACATTACCTTTTTATTACATATGACTCAATGTCCTTTATGATATGGCGTTCTTCTTCGAGTTTGTCAATGTTTATGTCACACATGATTGTATAATGTTAAATGATAGTATGTCCATTATCATGTTTATGTCTGTATTGGCAATGATTGTACAGTATAAGTTGTTCACTGGTCACGAGGGGGGCATGGGTTGACGTACCCTTGATGTTTGTATATGACAAACCCGGGACCCGTCACACTTGAACAAGTTCAAGATAACTTACTCAGCGCAATTGAAAACATGAAAGCAGAATTAGCTACCGCCAAAAATGACCTAAGTTCACAGATCTCCTCTCTTCGGAAAGACATTAGTGCTATTAGTTCCAAGTGTGAACACCTCGAACACTCTGTAACAGATATTCGTGGAGATATAGATATTATCAAACAAAATCATGATATTGTGAACGATGACATTGATGCCCTCGTGGAGAAAGTCGATTCTGTGATCGAAAACATGTCCAACGTAGATACCGAACTAGACCGGCTGGAATCTTACAGCAGACGCGACAATATCATAATTCATGGTATACCCGAGGCTGACGGCGAGGAGAAGTCTATGACATGCAAGCAGACAGCGTTATCCACTCTTAACGAGCACGCTTACTTTCAAGACGTGGGAACGCCTGACGCTATCCTCGCATTACATAGGCTTGGCGTTAGGCGGGTTAATGCTACCAGACCTCGACCAATGATTGTAAAGCTGCACATGTCTGACGATAAGGTGCGCTCCCTGAAAGCAAGACCGGCATTCAAGGCAGCGGGACTTGGTATCTTCAGTGACCTAACGTCACGTCAACGTCAGCAACTTCAGGCTTTGAAGGGGACAAACATGTTCGGCTATTTCAAGAATGGCCAGCTGGTGACAGTACCTCGCTCAGCCAGTGGAGCTACCGGATCCACCAACGTACGGGATACCAGAGTTCTCACCCAAACGAGGAAACGGCAAGCGAGGCCGAAATCAACCCTGCCGTAGGATTTGGGCCGAGGCCCGGATCGTATATCACAGGGTACTGCATAGATACTTTCCATTTCATGAAGATGATGATGTTAGAATTGAAAATCGGAAGTCTCACGATACATCTACAAACAAATTTGGCCAGAAACTTTTAGATATATGTTACGCATTGCAATTGTTTATCGTTAATGGGAGAGTATATGGCGTTTTACAAGGGGAATATACATTTTGTGTGAATCAAGGTGCTAGTGTCAATGATTATTTTATATGCTCACCCGATTTCTTCCAGTACATAGGCAGGTTTAATATTGGGGATCGGCATGAATCTGACCATTTACCTCTTGAATTAACTTGTAAGTTCCCCAATATTAATCATAGCATGAACGATGATAACGGGTCCACTATTATCAAACGACTTGTGTGGAATGATAATTTTGCAAGCACTTTCTTATCGAACGTGAAAGAAAACATAACTTCGTTTGGAGGAATTCTACTCGAAACAATTGATACAGATGTAATTGGAGCCATAAATGACTTTGTGGAACTGTTATCGACTTCAGCTAATTGTATGCTCAAAAATGTCAATCGCAAAGACCCGAACAAATACTGAAATACAGATTGTAGAAATGCGCTGACGCAATGCTCGTAAACATCTTCGTAGATTCAGAGTGACTCGTAGTAATTATGATAGACAGAAATATTGGCGAAAGTAAAAATAAGTATAAAGCTTGTTGTCGAAAGTATTAGTTTGATATGAGAATCCAGACAAGAAAGGTTAGAAAGATCTATAAACAGCCCGTCTGCATTTTGGAAAAGTATCCGCCATTTACAAAAAAGAAATACGTCCGGAAATAGCATAACTAAAACTCAATGGTTAAATCATTTCAAAGATGTATATTCAAACGGTGAGATATTAGACTTCGACGATGAAATTAACACTGTAGATTCCAATAATGACTATTATACAGAAGTAGATCAACTTGTACTAGACAGTCCTATTGCCGAACAGGAAATATTAGAAGCGATAAATCATCTTAAAAATGGGAAGGCTGCTGGACCTGACTTTATCATAATAGAAATGATAAAGTGTTTTAAATTCGAAATTATGCCGTTCCTTACGAAATATTTCAATAAGCTGTATGAACATGGAATTTTTCCCTGCAGTTGGTCAAGCTCTATAATAAATCCACTTCATAAAAGGGCTTACAGAAACGATCCAGATAATTATCGGGTATATCATTAATGAGTATCTTGGGAAAGTATTTACGATGATATTGAACAATAGACTATCAAACTGGGCTTAATATGTGTGATAAGATTCCTGAATCCCAGGCAGGATTTAGAAAGGATATTCTACCACTGATCATATATTTACTCTGTATGCACTAGTCCAAAAATCACTATCAAAAGAAAACATAAGTTGTACATAGCATTTGTAGATTTTAAAAGGCATTCACTCAGTCAATCGCTTTTAAATTATGGCAGTGTTTACGCAAGGCAGGTTTATTTAGGAAAATGGTTAGCATTCTCAAATCAATGTATTCTAACGCTTCGATCTTGTATGCGTTGCAAAGACGGGTTACAGATTTTTTCGATTGCCCACTTGGTTTAAGACAAGGTTGCTGCTTAAGTCCACTCCTATTTTCCTTCTTCATTAGTGAATTATATCAATGATATCAATTTAGCTGGAAAACATGGAATCCAAATGTACCCAGATCTTGTAGAAGTCCTAATGCTCCTTTTGCTGACGACGTTATTTTAGTTTCTCGATACTGTGGTCGGTTTACAAAATCAATTAAATATCTTAGAAAGTTATACTAAAGAATGGAAGTTAACAGTAAATTTAAGCAAAACAGAAATTGTGATATTTAGGAGGGCGGTCCCGTACACAAACTAACGCTGGTTTTTGATGGTCAGTTGATTACTGTATCCGATCAATATTCTTACTTAGGGTTTTTGTTTTCAAACAGAATGAACTTGAATAAATGTGCACATAACTTAACTTTTACGTGGAAAAAGGCTTTAATACAAGTTTTATCGGTTTTATACAAAGTTGGAACTATGTCACCCAATGTGTTTTTAAGATATTTAATTCTCAGATTCAACCCATTTTATTATATGGATCTGAAATATGGTGTTTTCAGCGCTTTTGATTGTATTGAGAGAGTGCATCTTTTAGCCTGTAAAAGTACCTCAATGTAAGCTCAAAGACACCTAACTGCATGGTATATGGCGAATGTGGCAGATTTCCTTTGTATATCAATTCTCACATAAGATGTTTAAAATATTGGTTTAAGGTTCTAAATATGCACGAACAACGTCTGCCAAAATTAGCTTACAATATGCTTTTAAATCTGGATAATTTGGAAAAACACACTTGGGTAACTGATATCAGAAATTTATTATTTTCTCACGGTTTCGGTTCCGTATGGTTGAACCAAACAATTGGCGATGTGAACTGGTTTTATTAATGAATTTCGTGTTAGATCCATAGATATGTTCAATCAAGAATGGAAATCCACCCAAGATTCAAGCTCACGATATGAATATGACAGGACCTTTAAAACGTTACTCCAGCCAGAAAAATACTTATCAATAATTACAACATATAGTTTAAGAACAATGTTCAGAAAGTATCGTTTAGGTTTGTTATCTTTAATGATTAATGAGGGTAGAAAAACCTCTGTCCAGAAAGAAAGTCGATATTGTCCTTTATGTAACGTTGGAATAGAAAATGAAATTCATTTTACCCTGATATGTCCTTGTTATCACGAATTAAGACAGAAATATATACCGCACCATCTTCTTGCAAAGCAGCCCCATTATGCATATATATCTTTGTTACAAACCAATAATGAAAATATTCTTGCTCAATTGTCCTTATATATAAAATATACATTAGCTAAAAGAGATCTTCTTATAAAGCGAATTGTATACCCTTAAATATATATGTAAATATCCAGAATATTCCTTTATCACTGTAACTCTCATGTATATGGGCCGGAGGCCTTTCATACAATAAACATCTTTTGACTTTGACTTTGACATCAACACATGGGCCCCGAGGGACCAGTGAACAACGTATTTATCTTACCGAACACCTTAATGTTAATTTTGAATTGTTTGAAGCACAGGTACAAATCCTTTTGTAGCCATCGCTAGATTTTCCTGACAAGAAAAACAGATTTCGAGTTATCTCCCTTTCATCGATTTGCATTCGCAAAACATCGGTAATTTCCGTACATTGTACGTGATTCAATGTTATTCGAGATAAAGAATTGCTACCACAAAGTACCAAATGAGGTGCAATTGACAGCGGGGTACATTGAAATGTTATTCCCTTGCAAGCAGGGTACATTGAAAATAATAGAAGAGCGCTCAGCCAATCTGAAAGTGTCATTTATGTGTAAAGTAAGATAAATGATGATGTAATCTTCTTGATCCTGCAGACTTTAACAGGGCATTAGTCTTATGCTAACTTCTGTTTGTCTCAAACTGTGGATATTTCAATGCTTCCACTTAAAATGTCATCAATATGTTCACACTTATGAGGTTTAACGATATGGTGCAGATATGTGCAATGCTTGGGATTAACATTTGAATTAATCTAAATACTTTGGGATTCTACTTTTCTGTATTAAAAACTGAATAAAATAGCTATAACACTGGTATAAATTCATGGGGGTCTTAGTTTAAGAGTTTTATTTTGAGTGTGTATGTTAGCTTGTTCATGATATGGTACAAGGGAGACAACTGTTACCAGTACTTGGGGGAGTGAAAACATAAGGTGGGGAGGTAGGCTTGAGTTTTAACACAAATTTCTGATAAGTTGATGAGCAACTGATTTGTAATTTCATGTGCAGTAGCAATAGAACCTTATATGGCTGAATGTTTCAATTAAGTGATCTAACATTTTTCTCCATAAGAAGATGGTTTGTTGCTGATTAACTAATGCTGTAACGATGCATCGAACTATCGATGGATTGCAATTGTTGAGTCTCCGATAGCAATTAGCCGATGGTAGAAACGAAAAACTATTGATGCATCGTTAGTATGGGTGACTATCGATAGTTTAGTAATTGACTTCGGTTGATAAATGTGCAGCGCAAAAGACAGGAAGCACTAGATTCGTTTGATTTGATTCATTAGAACTTTTTAATTTAATAGTGTAATCTAAATACGTAATTTTTGGGGGTATAAATTATATGGTAGCTTCCCTGAGGGCTGATAGTTAGTATTATTGACAGAAATGCATTATGCTTTTTAGAGAAATGTGGTGTGACATTGTGCCTTTAAAGGTCACATAAACCCTAGGGGGTAATAATACATAAATCACTAACTGGCATCGTTATAAATGAAACCCCGTCATTAAAACTACTCATTTCGACCTTTAATTGACTTAAATCGACCTTTTTGACAACAGTGCACAATTCTCACCCGCGAACGAAATTTCAACCAATCAGAGCGGCGCGCCTCTGTGACGTCATATGAGGAATAGCTTTGAGGGCCGATGCAGAATTCATCTACATTTTAGGGGTTAAATTATCCTGTTTACAGGCTTGTATAAACCTGAAATCGTGACAATTGTTGTGGAAAATGAAAGCTATATGTTCTCACAATCTACTGGCATTTAATTTTGTCTCCTGCTTTGCCTAGTTTCCGAGTTACAACTTGTTTTCATAGACGCTTCTGTCACAATTGATTGGTGTCGTTAGGCCCTATTTGTGTAATGACTGATCCAAATTGATCCCATTTCTGTGTTTTTTTACCTCGATATTTAATCATGTCATGTAAAAATCTGTTTGTATTCTCAACACAGTGTCGGCCCATAAGTTTTCACATGCAATACAGCAATTAATACTCCCTTGTTGTAACCCGTGTTAGGTGGTATAAACCTACACATGTTATTTGTCACCATTCACTTGATGGTCAGGTAATGAATTTATAACAGGTATAATTAGTGGTAACACACTTAGATTACCCGACAAAGGTTCCCATTTGGCATTTCTTGTGTCTGGAGTAAATATTCAACATTATGAACATCGATTAAAGGATTAACCGATAACACGCTGATTGATTAATTACTTTTATCTTACACAGCGGAATTGTCAAAAGGTAGTGTTTATGTATGTAGATTTACTAATCTATACTGAATACACTCTGCCGTGCCGGTGTCTGCGTAAAAACAACGTCCTTCTTTCAAAGGATTAACCGGCAATACATTGATTGATTGCCATTATTGGCTAACTAAATTACTGTTTTTAATGAAAGGCGGACATTATGCAATTAGTTGCCAGGTGTGCTATCTTGGGTGACCAATGAGACTATACACCAATACCTGAAAAGATTTATCACTTTTTCGTATATTAAACTGTTAAAAGACACATCATTTGGAACAGTTTTGTGGATATTGATGGATACATTCCTCAAACAAGGTAATGGCCTGATATTGTTCCTATAACTTTAATCTGTTTTAATTTTAATATTTGCATTTTGTTTTTTAATCATTTGTCGTAGCATTCAACAGAATCATTGTTTTCGCCGTGAAGTGTAATGAGACAGACAACATGCCCTAGGGTGTGTGTGCGAATTATGATTCACATTGGAAAACTATAAAATGTCTAGATATTACAGTTCTGTTATAAATTCACTATAAGTATCAGCAGATCGTCAGCTTTTTATTTAGTTTCAAAATGCATAAAAGTATGATAATAAACTAATTAGGATTATAAGACCAAATATAAAGACCCACATTGACTAGTATCTACATACTGGTGAGTGGACATTAACCATGTGAATGTAGCAAGAAATTTATCGCGCAGTGGCTACCCCACCGCCCCCGATTCCGTGGAAGAAATCGTTATGTTATAAGTTGTGTCATGCAAAATACTTTTGGTTATGATTCGAATACATATTTAACTACGAGTAGAAAGTAGTTTTGATTTTCTAACTTGATGAAAACAAACTATAATCTCATTAATTCTAACAGACTTTACGATTTCCCAAAATGGCGGCGCCCTGTCGGGAACATCCGCCAGTCTGAGGATAAATGCTATTTAGGTTTGTTTTCACCGAGTTACAAAATCAAAACTACTTTCTACTGGTAGTAAAATATGTATTTTATTGATGGCCAATAGGATTTTGTATGACATAGCGTATAACATAACAATTTCTCTCCTGGCAGCGAGGTGGTGTCAATATAATACTACTTACAATATTATTGTTACTTCGACCACAACCTCACTTCCGAGGAAGAAATCGTTATGTTACAAGTTGTGTTATGGAAAATCTTTATGGTCATCAATCATATACATATTTTACTATAACTAGTAAGTAGTTTTGATTCTTTAACTTCCGTGAAGCGATCTGAACACAAGTAAGATATCGTTTCAGGCTTCCACAACGCTTTCGCCAGCACTCACAAACATAACCCATTTAGCACGAACTGCGGGATCCTGTGGAAATCTGTGCATGGTGACACCATCGCCCGACCCCTAGGAGCAATTGACTACAAAGCAACGATTCGGCATGTCGTCGTTCATGTCGAGAAATCATCGAAATGATGAGCGTGCTACACACTTTCTATACAACTAACTGCAAATCGTTCCTCATATGACGTCACTGCAGTGCTCTGGCGACAGAGTTACGTAACCTGTCTGTGGTTTCGTTGGCGGGCGAGAGAGAAGCAGGCGACTTTTTGGCAACTTTTAATTGCTCGGTATTAATTAACCACAAGTTTTTAAAGAATAAATTTGGTGTTCCGCATAAGACTAACCACAAATCTTTCATATGTAATGGTTAAAAGAGTAACAAAAAAAAAAGTTTAGTGGTTCTTTAACGTACATCTGGTACAAGTTAAACTATATTCATTGGTGTATGTGTATCAAAATTATTCAACTTAACTTCATGCAACAAATTGTTTTGAGGCTGAATTGTGATTGTTTTTGTGTAAGTAAAAGTGTCATGAAAATCGCTGAATCAGCAAATGTCATGACAGGGTTCTTGTGGCCGTTACACATTCTGACTACGTTAAAAAACTTTTCAAAGACCTTGTCAATATTTCAGTGAGCTACAGTGCCTTTGTGTTTTCCAGGCTGCTGAGTGCCCACATGTGACGTACGCGAGTGATGACAAGTCGTTGTGGACGCTGGTCCTGTCCAGCCCCGATGGTCATATAGATCAGGACGATAAAGAGTGTCTACACTGGATGGTGTGAGTACAGAACGGGTGCTCTCTGACCCGGGATTGCCAGGGCCACACACAGTAGTCCTTGCCTTGGTTATGTGATGAAAGTCATTAAATCGTGATAAACAACTCTTATGCTGCAACAAATTCACTATGAGTCAAATGCCATTTACATATGTACATATGGTTCTATTCATCAAATTTGTGAGTTAATTGTAACAGCCCTATAATGTCCACATGAATACAAAATCCCACATGTAACATATGTTAATCAGCAACTGTAAGTTAGAAATATATGTGTTTGGACTGGCTAGTTTAAAATATGAAATATCGGTATCTGGTGTCAACATTAGTGTTCTTGTAACTTAATTAATGGAAAAAAATTGGTAGCATATTTGTGATATAAGGCATGAAAACTGACTGGTGTAGCTTCTAGCCAATTGTCTATGGGCTTGATGATTTTACTTCATCATTACAGATTGCGGTAAGAAGCACTCATAGACTTGTCTGAGAATGGATTAATTTGATTCGAATCTGGTGCTCAGATTCATTGACTTCTTAAGTGGCATTTAGAAGCTGGTATGATACAGAGGATTCATTGACTTGCGAGTGAACATGGGAAGCTGTAACAGTCATTGCTCTGTCAGTTGAAGACTAATATCTACAGGTCATCGTGACACAGTTGGTGTCTGAATGACTCCAGTTTCTATATCTCTGGAGCTCTGGAAACCTCATCCTCGATAATCTCCAGGGTATACGTTACGATAAATCTCCACTATACCCTGGATGCATCGTTCCCGTGATTATATTACCTCCCTTGGCTGGCTTTTTTATCCAATCAGGTGTCTACGCTGGGAAGTTGAGCGTACCAATCACAACTCACTTTCGCTTCTTTCATCAAACCGATTAAACTTGACAACATGAGGTACTCTGAAAGAGGTAGAAAGAGTTCTTGCATATATTTTTCAAGGTTTCAGACCTGTCAATTTGTCTGTATGATATCCCCCAAAATCTGAGTCGCACTGCGAACAAACCTTCACGGCTGCGACCACTATCTTTGTTGACACTGGCAAGCTCAGTTGTAACGGCAGCTTTGCTGATTGGCCACTGCGAGAATGCGGAGCCACAAAGGGAGGTAATAAAATAAAGAGCCGTAGATGCATCCAGGGTACTAGTGGAGATTTATCGTGACGCATACCCTGGAGGTTATCGAGAATGGGGAAGCCTACAATAATTCTTGGGTTGTATCTCATGGTTCTTGCAATCTTAATTTACTCACCCTTGATTTTCATAAACATTTTACAAACCAATCAAACATCAAGAAGGAAATAGGTATGGGAGGTGGACATGTCGCCATCCTTTACATGGTCTCAAGGGCTCTTGTTAGCATGTCAGTTTTTTGTAATGTTGAATTTCTCACAATGTCTATCTTAATCAGTGGGACTGGCCACCATGGTGTTGATATTACAAACCCCACACTGAACCTGGTTTAAAACTCACATTTTGATTGGTACTTTAGCCTGATTATTGCAGCATGTCAAACTGGCAAATGGAAAACAGGGTGAATAAATGGAGATGGGGGTAGCCTAGTGGTTAAAGCGTTGGCTCTTCACCGAAATGCTGGCACAGGATAGGTACAAGGAACTAATGTATGAAGCCCATTTCCGGTGTCCCCTGCTGTGATATTGCTGGAATCTGGAATACTGCTAAAAACAACATAAAACTAAACTCACTCACTCACTCACTTCAACAAACGAGACAAAAGAAATATTTGCAACCAATTCAACAAACTGACACATGTTGTGTGGCACAACCAGCTGATAATGTGTGATATGTTGTTTGTATAAATGTACATCATGATGTATTTGTTTTCCCAGTGCTAACATCCCAGGTAATGATGTAGAGAAAGGGGAGGTAATCTGTGACTACATGCAACCCTTCCCTCCAAAAGGGACAGGGTATCTCCGCTATGTATTCCTCCTCTACAAACAGTCAGAAAAACTTGACCTCAGTCAGATGCAGAGGCCATCAAAATGGTAAGAATTTATGTTTCAAGCATGTCAAGTGCTGATAAAAAAATTCTTAAAATGAGGGGTGCTTTTCGGGATTTGTAAATCCTTGTTTAAGGATAATGACAATGTGTTGAAAACATTGATTTAAATATAAGGTTTTAATATGTTCTATACTACATGAACTGGGATTTATTGGATAAAAGGGCAGTATACATGATCTGCTCTGTAAGATGGTGTAGAGCCCTAGATTAAAATAAGTTCCCAGCAGGTCTCTGCGGGTCTCTGCGGGTAAGTTCCTTGACAAAAATATGGATGCTGTCGTGGATCATTGCACATGTTGCTGAATAACTTATAGCTTTGGCTGGATCAAGGGTCATGGTAGAGTTCTCATTTATCAGTGATTTTAACTTTTTTATAAAGGTAGAGAACCAATTGAACAGTGCTTAATAATGTTTAAGTTTGAAAGCTGATTAATTTCAACAAAGCTGGGATACAGTTTTTCAATAGTGAAATAGTCTTGGCTCATCCAAATTGGCAGTCCCTCTGATGCTAGGCTTCCTAACACTGTTTTCTGTGGTGAGTGAGTGAGTTTAGTTTTATGCAGCACTCAGCAATATTCCAGCTATATGGTGGCGGTCTGTAAATAATCAAGTCTGGACCAGACAATCCAGTGATCAACAGCATGAGCATCGATCTAAGCAACTGGGATACGATGACATGTGTCAACCAAGTCAGCGAGCCTGAACACCTGATCCCCTAAGTTGCCTCTTATGACAAGTATGGTTTACTGAAGATCAATTCTAACCTGGATCTTCACAGGTCTTTTCTGTGGTGGCTTAGTACATTTTCCTTACACCATATAGTTAATGATAATGATAACTACACAGCAACAGTTTCTCCCTTTCACATGACACAAATGGCAACAGATTAGAAATCTGGTATGCTGTAGTCTCTCTTTAAGAGATGAAATCTCAGGTTTGAAACCAGCATTGATCATTTCAACTTGTGTTCACATGAAGTGAGACAGTGCATCAGTTTGTTCTGTTTCAGCCTGTCTCTACAAGAGAGGACGTTCAGCACTCTCAGCTTTTACTCGGAGAGACAGGACGTTCTGACACCAGCAGGGCTGGCCTTCTTCCAGTCGGGAGTGGGACCCATCAGTCAGGGAGTTTTTCCAAAATAAACTAGGTAGCTGGCAACTTAATTCCTTTTGCTCTTTTACAATTATTGCTGCCCCTTTGTCAGGATTGTGGGTTAGAATAGATAACTAGGCAAACGATGTCGAATGTCCAGTGTGTGATATAGTTTCCAAATGTTGCTAGCCAGTCAGGCTATCTATGCCACTATGCCTGTACTAGCCCACAAAATAATTCATTAGCCCGAAATTTGAATGTAAACACAGGTTTCATTATTAAGCTGCTAATATGATGAACATTTTTATCAGGCCACCATCTTGCATGATTTAAAAGTGTGTTATAAATTAACAAGTCGGAGAGAGTGATATATTTACAAAATGACCCCATGAAAATTCACTGGCCAGTCGGGCCAGCGACTGTCGAGATTTACTGGCCCGATTGGAATTTTACTAGCCACGGGCTAGGGGGCTAGTGGCTATTCACACACTGCGAATGTCGTATGGATTCTGGCTTAGAATAGGTTCCTTGGCACCATATGCTGAACCTTGCAATGGATTCTGGATTAGAATGAGTAACTAGTCAACTGCTGTTGAATGTAGCAGGGATTCTGCTGCCTTAGAATAGGTCCCTTAGCAGCATATGCTGATCCTTGCAATGGATTCTGGATTAGAATGAGTAACTAGGCAACTGCTGTCGAATGTCGCAGGGATTCTGGATTAGAATGGGTCCTCAAACAACTTGTTTGCATATTGTACAAGGTAAATATTACAAGAACAGACTTAATCCTTTTATCCGCCTGTTCGTCTATCCTCTCCTCAATGGTAACACATTTTTGCAATGAAAATTTACACAGCTACTGGGTCACAGTCTCAAGTGAGATTTCCAAAGAAACATTTTCCCATAATTGTATTTCCAGAGTTACCCTCTCTTTTACCATGCTTTATCATCCTATTTCTAGTGCATGCTTTTAGAAAAATCAGGATTGAGGTAAACACCTCAAATTCTAAGAAGGTGTAGAGCCAGTGATAATGTGTAATCACCGGTTTGTCTGGTCCAGGCTTCATTATTCACAGGTCACTGTGTCATGCGGGGCTATTTTTTATTTTGTAGTTACTCATAAAAGTATTTGTAATTTTACTATAACGTGACTAGTCTTTTGTTCATCTGTCATCTGTTCATTGATATTGTTTGCAGAAATGCCAGAACCAGCGTTTGAGTTCATGAACCCCCCACCATACCATCCGAAACAAGTGAAATACCCACACAAAGAACCATTTAACTTGTGAGTATGCCCGTGTAGCTCTGATTTCAAGGATTGAAATAGGACGGTGTTCATCATTAATACCTTACAGCATAGCTATAATGTGAGGTGAGGTGAAATTGGGGTTATCGTCATGTTTGAGAATATTTCGCTCATATGACGACGTGCATGCATGTGTATGTGCGGCTGCTTGCACTAGCCCAGATTTAAGCTGGTTTTATAGTGCTAGCCCATTGAGATACCATGCCGCAGTGAAGCATGAATACCCCACTCAGACACATTATACCGACTCCGAGCTGACCAGTCCTTGTTGTATCCATTAATGCCGAGCGCCAGGCAGGGACCAACAAGTACCATATTTTAACGTCTTTTGGTATGACGCGGTCGGGGATCGAACCCACGACCTTCCGACTCTCCGAGCGGACGCTGTTACCACTACACCACAGAGGCGGTTTAATGTCATGTGACCATATGTGTGTGACATTTATCGGAGCATGTTAAGACTTTTCTCTGATACTCCATGGCACTGATAAGTTATTTTCAACAGATGGTAGAAGCAGTAACTAACCTCTAAACATTATAAATACAATCTTTAAAGTTTCATATTTACACACATTGTTATGAAATGTGAACTATGGTGTTCTTTTGTGTGGTTTCAGATATCTAGATCGGTATAGACACGTGAAAGATATCAACGAAGAAGTCTTGAAAGAAAAGTTGAAGAGAATATCCCCATTCAGGCCAAACAAACCGAAAGCTTTGTACCCAGGAACTGTTCCTTTGCCAAAGTCGATGCCAAGCTGGCTGAAAACACGAACCAAGAATATTCGGTTTGGTCGGCACCAGTGGAAGGGACTACCAGGAGAGTAGAGTTGTGATGTTGCCATGGTTACAGATTTATAAACAAAAGAAGAACCCTTGGACTCTAAATTGTCAGAGTTTCGGTCGACTTTGAGGTAATGGTACCTGCATTGCAAAAGACAGATGAAGGAATGTATAGAAGAGGTTGCAGATTACAGCACAGCGAGGAGTGAAATATGACAACAAATACCTTTAGTGCTTGTCCACCATTAATGGTTTGACAAGGACACCAGGATATTTCATACTACGTACACACACCTTAGTATGTTGTTTGCTGTGTCATGCAATCAGGAACTAGTTTATGATAGATATTTGGTACTACTGTTGGCTTAGTAGTTGAAGAGTTCTTTCATCATGGGTTACAGCCACCATATAGCTGAGTGTGGTGTAAAACTCACTCACTCTCATCATGGCAACGGTTGGGATTTATTCCCCACATCGTTGCAATGTATGAAGCCATTTTAGGTGGCCCCTGATGTGATATGGCTGAAATATTGATGTAAAACCATCTATTCCCCACATCGTTGCAATGTATGAAGCCATTTTAGGTGGCCCCTGATGTGATATGGCTGAAATATTGATGTAAAACCATCGTATACTCCCCAGATCACTCATGATATTGTTTAAGTTGACTCACAAATAGAGAGATAAGTTTAAGCTGAAAAACATATTTATATAACTGGGAAGATGTATTTAATTCAATATGGAACTTTCAGCATGCCAGGAACGTAAGATCTTGGGTTTGAATCCCAAGTTTGCCCAGGTTTTGTTTTCTGGTATGTTGGACCATATCCATGCTCAGTGGTTTCACCTGCATCATTTGCGCCTTTCCTCGAACATCAATCTTACATCCCGACATAAAACTGAAATACGGTTCAAAGCAGTGATAAACCCAGCTCACTCACTCACTCTGTGGGATCATTGTTGAAGGGACTCATTAACATTCAGGGACAGTGGGGTAGCTCAGTGGTTAATGTGTTCGCTCGTCATGCTGAAGACCCGGGTTCGATTCCCCACATGGGCACATTTCTGTCATTCCCTGCCGTGATATTGCTGGAACGTTGCTAAAGGCAGTGTAAAACTTAACTTACTCGCTCACTCATTACTATTCATGATAAGAGATAAATATCAGCTGTTGACACTTGACAAGTCATGCTAGTGAGGCTGAGAAGACATGAACTGGGGCGGTGGGTAAGCCTAGTGGTTAAAGCGTTGGCTCGTCACGCCGAAGACCCGGGCTCGAATCCCCACATGGGTACGATGTGTGAAGCCCATTTCTGGTGTCCCCTGTCGTGATGTTGCTGGAATATTGCTAAAAGCGGCGTAAAACGAAAACTCAGTCAGTCAGACATGAACTGTTACCTGTCTTACATGAAGTTGTGGACTACAGACAAGACGGTCAATGATACTTGACCAGATGTTGTTCCTGAGGAAACTGCGAAATATGTGTGCCATTGTGCCAGGACATTCAGGGTTATGTTAAGTTTGCCTGAAATCTCTGAATGGAATCGTGTGGACAAGGATGTGATGCCATGAATAAAGTGTGGATGTGTTTGTTTACAAGTGTTCGGCTCATGTTTGTTTCCACATTCACATTTCTGTCTTGTCTTGGGCCAAATGGGGTGGGGAATAGGTCTCTGTATCATAATGGTCGCCACAAGACCACAGTACTGAGCTTTGAATTGTCAGGCTGAGAGTCCAGCCTGATCGTAGATCAATGACATGGATCACTGCTCATTGTGTCAGTCACTTGTTTGAGTGAAACAGCAATTTACAGACCACCAGCATGCTGACCCTTGCCTTAAACAATGTTCACCAACTCTTGTTGTTTATTTATGCTGCACTCACCAGTGTTCGTCCTCCAGGACCACAAAAACATGGTCAAGAAAACAGTGAGTGATTTAATGAGCCTCGATCTCGGGATATGAAGACATTCATCGAACATGTCAGCCAGTCTTAACTTCCTGATCATTGTATACCAACTGCGTAAATGATGCTCATCATGTTGATCACAGGATTGTCTGGTCCAGACTCAATTATTTACAGATCGCTGCCATATAGCTGGAATATTGCTGAGTGTGGTGTTAAACAAACCAACCAACGTTAGTTAGCAAGCTTGCAGGACAAGTTCTAACCTGTAACGTTATGAGCCTCACAGTTGGTTCACTCTACTGACCTACAGACCAACCAACGTTAGTAGCAAGCTTGCAGGACAAGTTCTAACCTGTACCTTTAGGAGCCTCACAGTTGGTTCACTCTACTGACCTACAGACCAACCAACGTTAGTTAGCAAGCTTGCAGGACAAGTTCTAACCTGTACCTTTAGGAGCCTCACAGTTGGTTCACTCTACTGACCAACAGACCGGAGCCTCACCAACGTTAGTTAGCAAGCTTGCAGGACAAGTTCTAACCTGTAACTTTAGGAGCCTCGCGTTAGTTAGTTGGTTCACTCTACTGACCTCTACAGACCAACCAACGTTAGGTAGCAAGCTTGCAGGACAAGTTCTAACCTGTAACTTTAGGAGCCTCACAGTTGGTTCACTCTACTGACCTACAGACCAACCAACGTTAGGTAGCAAGCTTGCAGGACAAGTTCTAACCTGTAACTTTAGGAGCCTCACAGTTGGTTCACTCTACTGACCTACAGACCAACCAACGTTAGTTAGCAAGCTTGCAGGACAAGTTCTAACCTGTACGTAACAAGTTCTGTAGGAGCCTCACAGTTGGTTCACTCTACTGACCTACAGACAAACCAACGTTAGTTAGCAAGCTTGCAGGACAAGTTCTAACCTGTACCTTTAGGAGCCTCACAGTTGGTTCACTCTACTGACCTACAGACCAACCAACGTTAGTTAGCAAGCTTGCAGGACAAGTTCTAACCTGTACCTTTAGGAGCCTCACAGTTGGTTCACTCTACTGACCTACAGACCTTTCCCCATCACATCAGGAAGGAAAGATTTCTTCAAAAGTTGCCTTAAACCAGTCCAGAAACATCTTTTCTTCTTCAATCTCCGGTGTTTCATCCTGATGAGCATACTTTATGTCGCCCTTGAAAGATAACTGGATTGGTTTGGGAAACACAGAAATTCAAATCAAGAAACATAATTTTGATAATATATCATGGTCAGGTGATGAAATTCACGACGGAACGAAGGTATATATTTCTACTGACAAAAGTATTGTTGGGTACGTAACATTTCTCGGAAGAGGGCAGAGAGTTGTCTCCCTTCCACCAGTGAACGTTTTCCGTCTTTCGAGCCAAGTACTTTGTAAATGATGGAATATTAATACATTTGTCAAATCGAAATTATTGATTATGAATTACCTTATTAGAACCAACATCCGCCAATATTGTCCTGAATATATTGTAAACATTAGAATTTTTTGTGAAATCTAGTGACTGAAAAATATGGAATATTGAAATGATCTTATATGTATTTCATCCTTGTATTTTACAGACTATGCTTTCTGGACTGTATTGCCAAAGCCTAGCTAGTATTCAATTAATTAAGGAGGTTAATGACTGAGGATCTAACGTTTATTATTTCCCATTGTCATAATACATTAATGTAAGTAAACCAGGCAACAACTCTGTGTAGCATGATGCAATAGTACTGGGAAGTTGCACAAGGGGCCACTCAACCAAACCTCAGACCTTTTCAGAAAGAAAAGTCTCACACGCTATAACAATCCGCCTTCAACCTTTGATCAGTAGAGATCAACTGTACTACAGTACATCCCGTTTTACTTTTAAAAAGCCATATCATCTATATAACTGGTATCCAAGCATCTAGTGGGAACATTTTAATCCGTATCCTTACCTGGGTGCTATTCCTGTCGTACTCCCGTGTTATAAGGTTGTTATTAATGTTAATCTGACCACCATACACATATACCTCTCAGTGCTTAGTTATAGTCACTCCAACTTGATAACGGTGAAAAATTCTACGGCAAACATGGTTAAATGCAATTAAGTTGTTATCAAATGTTTTAATTTTTACTCACCAACTTCTAGAATGCCAATCATACAGTCAAATATCCAAGGGACTCAACATGAAGTAGTGTGACAGCAGATATAAAAGATATTGGTATATCAACCTGTATTAACGTTTTTAGTTTCCCTATTAATTTATGTGTGAAATTGAAACAATTAACTTTATTTTGATTGAAAAAGAGCTTCAGTGAGATGGAAATTCAGACCTGACCCTGGGGAAATCTAGACTTGCTTCGCTTAGGGCTTTAGCATTGTAAGGGGGTTGGGCAGAAGGGAAAATAACGTGGTTCAGGGACTTGAGATAGACTCTAACAAACCGGGAACGAACCGCCGATGGTGATATTGGTGGTAACACCCCCCGAGAATCGAAACGCCTGTAAAATACTCACTGTATAATGTGGGGAATGTTTTGTTTCAGGAGGACAATACTACTATCTAGATGAAGATTTAAAATGCACTTAACTCAGTTCATACTACTGGCATTTCATCTTCGTCATGTGATTCAAACATCGGATTGCCAGGAAATAACGGAACCGCTCAGCTTATTCATTCATAGCAATGTGGAAGTAGGCCTAAAAGTAAAAATATCATCCCCAAACATTTCAGCGTTTACATATGAAAACATTTTGATTCGCAGCACATATTTCTATTTGGTGTGTGTGTGTGTGTGTGTGTGTGTGTGTGTGTGTGTGTGTGTGTGTGTGTGTGTGTGTGTGTTTTGGGGTCGGGGTGGGTGGGTGTATATGTTGTGTACGTACTGGAGAGTCAGTCATACACCCCCCAAAACAAATATATGCAAGTCTGTAATATGTAGCCTTAATATCTTAATATCTAGCTGTAAACGAAGAAGGTCTCTGGGTTCCTCTTTATTGTATTTAATTAAGATAATTTCAGGATTGTTTTTATTCTGTCCGATATGGCCATGTCTGAGACATGCTGAGACTGGATACTTGTCACGCAATCCAAGAGTACACCCGCACTGGAAACTGGCACGGAGTACACAAGCTCTCGGATCTCGCGAGGTAATGAGCCGTGAAGCTAGTAAGGAGGGCTTGACTTAGATACGTGACCTGACGACGGCACTTACATTGTATATAGGGATGAGATAGATTGCTGGGCTCTGACTGGAGACATAAGAAGCCATATACACTCTATTGTATGTCCTCTCTTGAATAGGTTCATGCGAGTTGACTGCGGCCCCGTGACAACCCTGATACAATCTCGCTTGCTTAACCAGTAAACACCCACGACATAAACAGCGTGGTTGAGATGGATGAAATATCTTATGGCTCAGGGTAGTCTACCTCACAGCTCCAGAACCACCTCATTTCCCTTCCCCTCAGCCCTTTTTAGCAACGCACAAGCCTCGAATGAAGCAAGTCTAGATGTCCATGTTCAGAACAGAATTTTCCTTCTCATTTGGACTCCTTTTCAACTGAATTTGGGACCGTTCATAATTCATGGGTTTTGGGGAGGTCACCCATTTTGTTCTGGGGAGCTAGGGGTGGGGCAGCAGTTTTGTACACACGTACTGGTGGGGGCAGCAATTTTGTACATACATATATGTTTAAAATTATGCTTAGAAATTATGAGAAGGGGAGTGGGGGTGTCATGATTTTGTACGTTACATACAAGGGGGTCACTTATTTTGTACATAAATTTTAGGGGGGGGCATTCACATTGTACATGCTTCTCCATTAAAATCATCACCACCCCCCTAGCCATAAATTATGAACGGTCCCTTAGGGTAATTTACTTTATTGTAAAACGTATTAAAACTTAAACATTAGGGGATTATGATAAGTGTCAACCCTTATGTCTAAATACACCAGTATCTCCCTGGGAAGACGATCATTGAACTGTCCATGTGTCATTTAAACACACGAACTGACCAAGACGACATTCATATTCTGTAGAATGTTCACAAAACAGTCATCGATAGAGCATGCCATTACGTGCCAGGAGAGAGCCATTGTTGTGTCAACGGCCTTGGAACCTTCAACTGAACCGGGCAACCTTTATTATCTGAAGCGAGGAACATCTACTGATAATCCGCTCTCCCCGAAACTAGGTCGCATAGCTTCCCGACTGTGGTGTCGAGTTCCTTCCTCCCGCCTAGCTCGAGTGTCGGACGTACAACTGGCGATAATCCCGAGAAGCGTGGGCACAAAGAATGTTACCATGGTATTGAGTAATTGACGCCGTACCAGTCACGTGACACGACAGGATAGCAAAAACATAAGCATACATTTTAATAAATCAATATAATTATTTTCGACGTTTATCCCGGTTATTAATTAGAAGAATGTGCGTATATTTTTATTAATATATTTTATGTCTTACCGAATCACGGTGGAACCGTAAGTACAAATAACTGAATAAATGTTCATAATTAGATTCTATGTCGTTCAGTGGTTGGTATCACGTGACATCATGGTTACCGTGAATACAGTGTCATGTTACATCAATGACCTCAACACGTTAACACATTAAACATCGTAATCGTGAACATAATAAACACTTTTAGCCATTTATATTTTCTAAAATACGACAACGTTTA